TGGCTTATTCCCATTTAAATAGTAAATACTTTAATGTTTTATCTAGATTTATTGAATCGTTCTCTTCTCTTTGTTTGCTCGTATTTGGTTTTCACTTCACTGGTTTCGAGTGAAACTTTTTTTGTGCTCTCTGAACCTTATTGGATATCGTTTACATAAAATAGTGAGTTTCTTATAACATAATTATATATCGTCATGATATGCTAGGTGCTGCTTTGTACCTTGAAATATCTTAAATAGGCGTATTTCCTATTTTAGTAAGCTGTGCTTTAATTTTTTGACTATTTGAATCGTGAATCTAGTTCCATCTCTGTTTTTTTACAATGACCTTTATATAACATATAAAGCCATCAGAAAGCCTAAACCTAAATTATTTAAAAATTCTAAAATAACGTTCTCTAAGTTTTCACCAGTATCAGAAAATATAGGTAGAAATCCCAAAAATCCTTTTATACCACTTAGAAGAACATAGTGAAGAATGACGGTAAGCTGATCTATGTGAGATATATCTGGTGTTGAATGAATAATTAGAGAGTAAAATTTGGCTTCCTTTATTTTGTTCACTATAATGAGTTTTAAATCTTTTAATATAATAGAAATAAATTCATCACATATTGTAGGGATAAATAGTTTATTGTACCAATGTTGCAGTTCAAACGAACTCGATAAATATTACAAATCACCCATATAATTACCATTATTTTTACATAAATACTTCATTTTTACCACGAAACGCCAACATGTAAGAAATAATTTTATTGTCACTACTACACGTTAAAGTATGTACTTCCAATATATTTTTTTCATTTATTATTTTTAAATACCTGCATAATAAATAGGGATGGCAACGATATATACATATACATACATTAAATATACCAATATCGCCCACACAGTATTAATACAGCATATTGGCACGTATGTAGTATATACTCCAGAATATATTACATTCTATAAAATACTATGTCTAAGTATTCCTGGTCAAGGTCAGTCTCTACTTCAAATTATGTTTTATGATTTCGTTTATTATTTTATACGTATTGGGGCACAGCGACATTGATGTATAATGTTTTTGATATCCCCGAGGGTAAAAGCGATTAACGAATCGGCATAATTTAAATGTTTCAGCAATAGTTATGAATATCATGTTTTTCTGTTAAATAAAAATATAAGAATTATAAAAATTAAAACCTAATTTTAATTTTCTGGCCCAAGGCCATAGGCGTCTAGGCTGCCTAGGACTTAGTTCGCCCCTGAACGGTAGAATAAAAGTAGTAGAAAAGATTTAAAAAAATAAAAGCATAAACATATCTTTTCCTACTTTTTTAATAAAGAAAATTTTGTACACTTATTTTAACACTGTTACTTTAAATAATTGAGTGATTTGACCGTTACTTGATAGAAATTCATTGTATGTAACAATAAAACACTGAAAACTTTGTTTTCAAAACTTCCACAAAATTTATTTTAAACTCTTATCACTACGGCTTTCCTTTCTCAAGTGATCTATTTTTGGCATGTGTACACTTTATATTCCTTAATGAAATAGGTTGAGGAAGGAAGAACTCTTTGTCTCAAGTTGGTCATTCAGAATTATATCTGTATTTTTAATTTGTTGATTTCAATAGATTCTAACAAAGATAGCTTAAGGCCTTTATTTTGAATATGAAGAATGTTAAATTCGTCATTAAAAGAATGATTATGATCTACATACGCACTTCACCTTCTAGATCATAATCATTCTTTTAATGACGAATTCAACATTCTTCACATTCAAAATAAAGGCCTTAAGCTATCTTTATTGATAGGATCTATTTTTAAGGATGACCTACGGCGCAGAAACCCCCACAAGAACAACGAATAATGTTAGGGATTTCTCTACGTGATAGAATACTCAATGCTACTGTACGCAAAAGATCAGGAGTAGCAGACGTTATTGAAAGGAACAACACTAAAGTGGAACTGGGCAGGTCATGTAGCAAGATCAGTTGATGACCAGTGGACCAAAAGAACTTTGGAATGGAGACCCCGAATACAAGCTAACAGAAATAAAGGTCGACCTCTAACGAGATGGACAGATGACATAAAAGGAGTGACTACAAATTGGATTCAGATGGCGCAAAATCGGACTAAGTGGCATGCGAGAGGCCTATGTTCAGCACTGGACGTTAGAGGCTAGTTGATGATGATGATGAAGCTATCTTTGTTAGAATCTATTGAAATCAACAGATTAAAAAAAACAGATATAATTCTGAATGACAACTTGAGACAAACAGTTCTCCCCTCCTCAGCCTATTTCATTAAAGACTATAAAGTGTAAACGCATGCCAAAAATAGATTACTTGAGAAAGGCAATCAGCCGAAACAGCTGCAGTGATAAGAGGTTAAAATAAATTTTGTGGAATTTTTGAAAACAAAGTTTTCAGTGTTTTACTGTAACTTTAACTTTTGTACACTGTTTGTTATCAATATAAATGAGTTGTAACCGATATTATAAACTTGTTTACTCTGCACAAAGAGTCTCTTTAATACCTACAGTTTTTCACGAAGCAGCCTTCACGAAGACTGAAGTACTAATGAGACAGCCGCAATCGGGCATATCCTGAGTAATGATTAATTAATTAATCGGCTAATTCTTTAATCACCCGTTCAATATGATTTTGTCAAATCGGTCCCTTTCACGACCAACTATTCTAATTATGTCTATAAATATTGAGGGCATATCTAGAGATAAAAAACTTTACTTTACCTAAACTTATTAGATACACCTATGAGTTTAATACAAATGTGACGTATTTCTAGTGCAGATCTTTGCTGGCAATGAATGCAAAGAAAAACTCAAAGTGAGAGAGAAAAAAAAAACAGTCAGCTGAGGAAACATTTCAACAATATTGAGCTTGGATCTACCATCTACCAGTAGATACTACGACTGGTATTCTTAGTGGATAAGTGGATAAAAATCTAAATCATACCTAAAACACAATAAAAATACATTATAAATGAATTTCAAGCCAAATCCAATAGTGCCATTAAATGCTTCAACTCTGGACTTCCTATAAATACATTGCAAATATTTTGTACTGCACACACAACTAAAAGGAAAACTGAGGACCAGAAATAATATTCTCCGCAATTGCCAGTATGGGTGACATCAACACATCCTTAACACGTAGATTAAGACTTCACATCAATACATAAACTCTACCCTATCGTAGCTATAAATATATCCAATATGCGAAGTTTATTGAAACCGTTACTTGATGAAAATTTATTTTATCTAACAATAAAAGATGTATGCATTTACACGTTATAGTGTGTAACTGAATAAGTAATGGACGGGATAATTGTTTGTCTCAAGTATGGAAAGATCTAAATCATACCTTAAACACAATAACAATAGACTATGAATCAATTTTAAGCCAAACCTCAGAAAAAATCAGATGTTCTCCTTTTATGTCCCTAACAGAGACGCTTTCAAAAATCTAAACATCCATTAGTGTCATGAAATTTCTAAACCCTGGACTTGCTATAAATAATTTGAAGATAGTTTGTATCACACTTTGTCATTCACAGAACATTGTTTAAAACTAAAAGGCAAACTGAGGACCAGAAAAATAATCTCTGCAAACTTGTCAGCTAAAATTGAGAAGCGCATCCTTTCATCCTTAAAACGTAGACGCTTGCACTCTATGCTTCTGCTACCGAATATACCTTGCAAGTATGGATGACACCAACACATACTTAACACGTAGATTTAGCTATAAATTAGTCAGCCAAATTCAGCGGATATTAAGACACACACACATTCATACATAAGCTCTACATTATCGTAGCTATTAATTCACCTTATATCCGAAGATAAGTAGCTAGATAATAAAAGATACAAAGTCTAGAATCGCAAAATCAACGAATACCAGCTTAATTTATAATTAAAATCGAGAAAAAACTGACCCAAGATTATTGCAAATTTTACACTCCACGTTTATTGAATACATATTACCCCTAAATAGAAGATAAAACATTCAGAAGTATGTAATATTGGTGAACAGGTATATTCTTCTTATATAAATTAAGCATTCTTCCCTCTTTTGTGCCGTACTACCAATTTTTACATAAAAATATCTATTTTTGCACTTAAATATTTATTTTAAGATAACCCATCCAGAATTATATGTAGTAGACAGATAAAATCAGAAATAAAATAATAAAGAAGCTGTATACAAGATATCGTAAAACAATGGATTAACTAAAAGTTCGTATTAATCGTATTCTTAAATAAAACGTATAAAGACATACTCATGATAACAAAATACATTAGGAAATTTTCGCATATGAAAAAACACATCCAACTTGGTAATGAAATCCTTTTGTATTTATAAAGCTATTTTTAGAATAGCACGTACCTACCAAAAACAGGTATTTGGTATTATACATATCTATTACATATTGTCATGATGATCGCCAACATTCGTAACGGATATGCACATCAAGAAGAAGAAGAAGAATATTACATATTGTAATGCGTATGAATGTTAACAAAAATAAGGAGTCCGTATAAACCGTTTAAAATATATAAAATATATATATCAAGAACGCTGGCTTAATTGCATAGTTGCCAAACTATCAGAGCTTACTTAAACCGATATACTTATGGTTTCAATATACAGCGAAAAAGATCTGAACGACCCCTATAATATATACACGTGAACTAAGCGAAATACATTTATGGTACAGGGGTACTTATGAGCTCCAAAATTTTTTTACGAATTATGAAACTATACATCTTAACGAATCGACAGAGCCAATATTATGGAATGGACAAGTGAGCTCCGTATATCGGTGTCCACTTGACCACGGAGCTCACTTGAACCTGAATTTTAACATGGGTGGAGTTCACTTTATGCCGTAGATATATATATATATATATATATATATATATATATATATATATATATATATTTACAGTACATTAAAAGTACTATACAAAATATTTAACTTACCCGTTGTGTGTGACGAGCGTTTGCCTTAAACCTAATTTTCTAAACATATCTACAACAGTCTCCATGGGTGTCTGGTCAGTTATGGTGATTGGCGCCATATCGAGTATTTTCTTGAGATTGAGTGGTGGCGGCCCCAGAGTTTGGGGGGCGTTTCCTTGCGTGAAAACTACCAAGGATTGTCCGCATATGCCGTCCACCATTCTCTTCGCATTGGCTATAAAGAAAAAAAGTATAAAAATACAAAAACGTATAATTTCTGTACTACAATTTCTGTTTAAAATGAAAAACCTATAAATTGGCTCACAGTAAAATCAATAAAAAGTCTTCCGGATATAAATCTTCGCCTTAAATTACCGGAGTTAATGGGAATACTCTGTTTACTTCTTCTTCAGCAGTCTAAGAATGCCTGTTGACGACCTGTTGCGAAGCTGGTGCGCCAAAAAAACCGGAGATGTGTGAAACGCACAACTTGTTTAAAAAAATTCTTGAATAACACCCATTTTTTTGTCAAAAGCTATCGATATATCTAATCTTGTTAAGAAGACATCTATTGACTACCACAATTCCCTGTGTAAACTCTTGTCGGGTGTAGGAACGACGGGTCAAGCGGTCGTATTTGCACACTCATCAGATAAAATCGAGTCATTAAGGCTGTTTTATCGGTGCACCAAAACCTAGGGACAGTTCTCTGTTATTTGCCGACAAAATGCCTCGACATTTTGACACGTTATTCGAAATTATGTTGCCTCTAAAATGACGGTTTTACTTTTTTAATTTTTTTGAAACTTCTGTTGAAAAATTGGATTATACTGTTTAACGTTCCATTATAACCAAACTTTTTACGCCCATCACTTGAAAGATTTTTTTTTCTGTAATCGTTGATTTTTTTTTTCACCAGTAATAATCGAGAAAAGCGTGTTCCAACTTTAAAGAAAATTGCTAAAAAATACTGAAATCTAATAGTGAAACGTGTTACTCATCATTGGCGCTTAGTTTCATCGTTATCGCCTTCGTGACGTCAAATCTCATGAACGTACGGTCAGTTAGTTCGCTTGAATCAGAATCCATTTTCAGTTAGTCATTCTTGTATTTTCTTTATCAACTTTCTTAGTGTTTACAGTATTATTAGTTATTGAACAATAATATTCTTTAGTTTACGGGTATGTTTAAGTAATATATTATTAGTTTAGTGGTATAAGTTACAAGTGCTTTAGATTACGCGTATTTTTAAATATTATATTAGTTTAGTGATATAAGTTATGAGTGACAAAATAAGAAATGAGTCCCAGTAAACGACCATTTTTTTATACATAAATAAAAATATTTTTTGTTTAATTTTTACTAGGCTAATATCAGTTTTCTCTAACAAATAAATATCTTCTTGATATCATTTTCAAGCTATAACTGCGAAATTGTTTATTTGTTTGTGACAACAAATTGTAATTTTTTGATAATAATATTTTTATGTTATTTTAAATTTATTATAAATAAACACCATGGTGTTTTTCGCAGTCACGTTTCACAAATTTTTATTCAATACTATATTAAGCTAAGACATATAAATTTAAAATGTGATAATTCTTTTTAAAACATTATCTACGATAATCAATCTAAAAAGGTTATCCCGACAAAACTAATTTGAATGGAGAATAATGCATTTGTTGTCATTAAACTACCCGTCGGCCGGCGACACTGAGTAAAGATGGTCTGACGTAAGCAGTGTAGAAAAGTGATACGCCCATTTCAAATCGCAGTGTGTTTTAACTGTTAAAACAGTCTTAATAAAAACTGTAATGGAATCGGTAGAATCTTGGTCGTTGTAACTTCAGTACTAGGTGTATCAACAGATGAAATATGAATTCGCTGAAGTCACTTTTCATCGTCGTTTATAGTTCTACACGTGCCTTGTCCGCTACGAAAGACGCAAGGCTATTCTATCACAATGATTTAACTTTATTTGTCACATTGCTGAATAATTGGTAAAGTAGAAACGATATGAATTGGGAAAGAACAATTTTTGGGGTCCGGTCAGTAATTCTATGACGAACATAGAAATAAAGATAAATCTTTGTAATTCTGTAATTATTGATTACTCCTGGTAATAGTCCACATGGATATTGGCGTGGCTTATTACTTTTTAACGTATCTTATTGGGTAATACTGAAATGTAATTGGCATCGAGTTAGAATCTATGGAGAGGGCATCACGTGACTAAAAACGACCTAGCTTCGGCCATATTGTTATTATTGTTTTGATACTTTTGACAGATCGTATATTTTTGTTTACGTTTGTTGTTTTTCGAATATTTTTAGTTTTATAATACTTTTATGGAAACTGTAATAATATATTGTGATAGTGCATAATAATGGTTTCTTGTTCTCAACGTAGTTGCAGTATCAGAAGCAATGTTAATAAAAAATCTTCAGAAATAACGTTGTACAGGATAGTAAACAAATATGTAAACAAAGTAATGGCCCGTACTTCAGAGAATAAATTAATAGTATTTGACTGTATTAATTTATCTTTATGTATAATATATCGTGTTTTTACTGTTTACCGCGGGATAAATAAATCATAGTTTATTAAAAATGTATTGCACTTTTTAGATTATGATTAAATCTTCTAAATAACTAGTCATATTTTTATAGTAGTTTTAATATTATTGAGTCCGGCCATGATCCCACCGCCATATTGATATTATCGTTAGCCACACCTACCTACGCCGTTTTTAATACACACGTTAATATGCTCATAGCTTCTCCATAGATTCTAACTCGATGGTAATTGGTCAAATTTTTCGGAAGTGCATACACTGAAGCTAAATCTGGCTTTGCCGTTATCTGGCAAAAATTGCTTCTCATGTTTCAACGGCGGCAAGGATATAATAAACACAATAGCAGTGTCGTCGTGATAAACTTATAATTATTTTATTTTTAAAATAATTCAGAAATATAAACATTATTTGTAATTGATCACTAACGGTATTGTCCACATTGCAGTTGTGGCTTATTACTTTCTACGTATCTTATCGGGCACTACTGAAGTGTAATTAGTCAAATTCTTCGGAAGTTATTACGCTCAAACTTTATCGTTAACTGATCAAAAATGCCTTCTCAGGTTTCTCATACTAAACGATATATTCAGTATCGTCGTGTACGACAGCAAGTTCACGTATATTTTTAATATTTTTGTGCAAACAGTAGTGTTGTGTTTTAGTTAAGTTTGAGTTAAGACAGTAGAAATAAGTTGTAAATACATTAAAGATGGCTTTTTGGCGACCATTTGAATGTGATACCAACGAGAATACTAACGACAATCCAACGGATGATTTAGGTATGTAAATTCTTATTTAAAACAAGTTTAATAATTAGTTGTATAGGGATGCTCGGTCATAATATTCACCCTTAATCTACTTTTTTTAACAATTAAAAGTAAAAGTATTTCTTTTAGATCCAACACCAATGAATTGGGAATTTGTAAATAAGGACTTACATATTCAAGCGCAAAGGATTATTCTAAATATATATTCCTGTTTAAGAGGCGAAAATGGTACACTTTCGGAAAATAATATTGTGTTAAGAATATGTGAACTTACCAAACTTGCGCGTACGACAGTTTTACGTGTTATTGCAGCTGGGGATGTACTTGATCATTCTGTTAAACGTCAAAGAGTTGAACAAAACCTTAAAAAGATTGATAAGGCCACTAAAGACGTTATTTGTCGCTATGTCTACGAATTTTATCAGGACAACAAAGTTCCAACGTTGGAAATGCTTCAGGACAAGTTGAAAATATATCCCGATTATGCATATAAATCCCTTGATACATTGAGGCGTTTTTTAATAGAATGCGGATTTAGTTATAAAAAATTAGACAAGAGAATGGTAATTATGGAATCTACAAGGATTGTGATACAGAGGCAACATTATTTACGTAAAATAAAGGAATATCGAGATAACAATAGAGATATTGTGTATCTTGATGAAACACAATACAATTGAATTATTATCACAATATATATCAATAATAATTGAATTATTCGATATGGAATTTGACGAATAGGTAAGAATCTATTTTTTATTAGCTATAACTCTGCTTCTGCTGGGTATACAGACTTCATACATATACAATTCTTTTCACTTTTTTGTAAACTGTATTTTTGCTAAAAACATTTTTTCCGTAAAATACTTACCTTTTGAGTTATTTGCGAGAAACCGTCCAAAAACGTGGTGTTTTTGTTGAAAAATGAATATATTCACTCGCAAATAACTCGAAAAGTATTGATTTAGTAAAAACCTCTATAGAGCAAAAGTTGCCTAGAATTAGTCAGTTTATCCACTCCCGGACTTATTTTGGATGTATATCTTTTCACCCCCGAGAAGGGGCGGTACCCACCCCCAGGGCAAAAATACACATCGGCACAATATCACTTTTTTTCTTTGACACGTTAGCTATATGTGTATGCCAAATTTCATGTCAATCCCAGTGGTTCTTTAAAATTTAGAGGTTTTTACAATATTTTACTGTTAGTGAATGGACTATGTGTATTAACTTTTAATCATCTTTGATGTCAAGTTCATAAAGAAATGTGAATAATTAACAATATTACTACTGTTTAACAAAATATTAGACCTTAATTTAAAAATAAAAGTTTATTATTTAATTTCTATTGCGCCGCCTATGTTTTACAGAAGGCGCCGACACTTGAGTGTCGAATTTTGTTTTATACTCGTCCAACTGACATCGTAGAGACTTTATGAGGTTATACCATACCAGTGTCCTAGGTCGTGGAGTCAGGAATTTCTTCTTCCGTGCAATCCTGATTTCCTATATACATATTAGCTGCAGTAAATGGTATTTGTCATGACTCAAGTGTCAGAGTTTCTTGTCAAGCGTCAAGCTGTATTTTTGATAATATATTTATTTCCCCTTTCTCACTCGGCGTAGTACGTCCACTTTTGCTGAGGCCATAATTAGCCCAATCCCTTTTGGTTATAATGGCGGCAAAAGAGCCGCTCCGCTATTTAGTACACCAGTGAGGGAAAATTTTATATGAATAATGATGAAAAATATTTGATAATAAACCAAATAAACCCGCCTGAGGTGCATTTTATATGCTTTTACTATAATAAAGTTTATTTTACTAATATGAAATAATAGCATAAAATAATCCAACTAAAACACATACCTATTGCCAGATTAAGATCTCTCCTCACAACGAATCCCACAAGATATTGAGACTCTCTCGACACAACAACTGGATAGCCATTATGTTCAGTCTCCTTAAGTAATGTTTCTACGTCATCGACTGTCATCGAATCTTGAGTCAGAACACTCAATGTTTCGTTACGCCTGAAACAAGAATATTATAAGTATTATTTCCACATGAGGCAATATTTCAATAGCAGTGTAAATTTAAAATTGCGACTGAATCCAACCGTTACATTAGCCGTCATCTTGAATTTGAAAATGAGAAAGGAGAACCGTATTTGCTCAATATCTCCACCATTTTCAACTTTTCGACAAAAATGGTAACAGCTGAAATTGTTGAAAATGCGATTTGCTACAATTTCTTTTTTCGTATTGTAGCGTTTACGCTACTGACTAGTCCAATTAAAACTCCTCACGAAATTTCTTATTACTCGCCTACGATCGATTTTAAATCGACATTTTTCCACACACGCGGAGGATTCGCTTTGACAGGAAGATTGGTCGAGTCTGTGCGGAAGCGGTTAGTTTTGGTCAGAACTCGTAAACGCAGACACGCCAACCGGTGAGTTTTTCTCACGTTCAAAGTGACGGAATTGGGGCAAACAAAATCTAGGACAAGAATAAAAAAATATATAATTCATAAATAATAATAATAATAAGTAATTTTTTCTAATAAAACCAATATTCATTTATAAGAGTTCCACATAAAAGGAAGATTTTTTTGGCGTGCTGCGGCTCCATGTAAGTAAATAATTTCATACGTATTATCTCTTTATCATATAATCAAATTTATCATTGCAGTTTAGTATTTCTTTAGAGATTTATTTTTGAGTTCCGAAATGATTTAAATATAAAATTTCCTTGATTTACTTACAAAGAACATAAGGTCATTTTTTATATAGTCAAACTTAAATTCCGATCTATTCCATATCTTATCAGTAAGTTTTTTGGTTTTTTTTTTCTCTCACTTTTTTTGGTGGAATATACAAGGTTCTACAAATGTGGTACAGCCTTCTGTATTCTGCGCATGCTCTTTTCATGGCGCAAGCCTGTCATGTCTACGAAGTAACTTCGGAAATTTTGACATGTTGACATAACCTAATGTTTTGATGTTTTGGTGCAGTCAATCTATGCTGCTACACGTATTAAATCAAATAGTAATTAAATCTGATAATTCTTTTAGATTCCGTCACTTCACTTGAGAGTATTCACTTGAAAATATTCCCTCGAGGATATTAGTTAGTAATTTTGAATCCTTAGATAGTTAGCAACTTGCGTATGTAACCCGTGGATTTTGCTGTCACCCGGAACCATGGGACTTGTCACCACGAACATGAATTAATTTAGCCGTGCCAAGAGGAGTTTTCCTATGGACTTATAGTGTTGCTAAGATAAGTTGTTTAACTATTTGACTTTTTGTGTTACTTTCTATTTACTGTTAACTTTTCATATGCATATGATAAGGTGAATACAATTTTGATATAATCTAATTCTAAAATATTAGGGAGAAGAAAATACCTTTCATGTTTTATTAGGTTTTTTTTTACTAGGATGTAAAGAGTACTGACCAAACTCACTTTTGCTATAATTTTTTTTAATACAATATATTTGATATAATACAATTTTGATATTGGGGGAGGGAAATAAATTTCATGTGTTTTTTTTTTTAAACATTATATAAGAAGTATTGAAGATTCACTTTTGAATGTAATATATTTAATAGAATTGTAACAGATTTATCACTTTTGATATCTTTACAATATTGTAATTAGTATCTCATTTTAGTAGAACTATTTAAATTTAAATTACTAACCTTCATTGCGAGGATTTGGAAAGCGAGGAATTGGGAGAAGGAGAATATCATGGTTGAAGAACCTGAGGAAATGGTTCTCCACAACAACAACGAATTTATTTAAAGCAGCAGTTAATAAAATAATTATAGCCAGAAGATTGCCAATATTCGGAACGAATAGGCACTGAAAGAAGAAAAACCTTTATTGTTAAGACCTTGGCTACCATACGGACTATTCTTGGTGTTACTAATATTTTTATACTTTATTTGGCCAGTGGTAGTGATTATTCGCTTGTTGAGGGGCTATTTGGTCCTATTGTATCTTTACACACCCACTACCACTGTTATTTAGTTTTGCTTTATATGTAAATTGTTCATACATATATATCTACAAACACATTTTTATAAATATATTTATTGTTACTATTTTGAGTTTTATTTCAGTTCTACTAACCAGTATACAATATAGCAAGACAAGATTGGTATTTAATATTTTGTATTTCAGGTTATTATCTCTAGTATCATTTGTTTCCTGTCCTTTGTTACTTCAAAATCTCAACTATCGTTGAGTTGGCGCCCTTCTTTTTCTCTTCTTCTTGTTCTCTTTCTATAAATTTATTCCCAGTGACCTTCTTTAGTTGTATCACGTTTGATATTACCAGGTCTCATTTCGTTTCTTGTCTCATTAGCTCAGTATCCTTGCTATCTGTTTATATCTTTAAAGCCACAATCCAGTGCATTGAAGCTAGCCCGAACACTCACTTGAGATTTAGTGTCTCTTTGGCCATTTAACTTTGTTCCTCTGAGCTTAGCCATATTTTTAGTATTTTCATCACCTCTCTTCCAGTTCTTCTGAAATTTGGAAGTTCTACGCTTCCTAAAATCCAATACTCCCGGAGTATTGAGGTTTCAGTATACATATAGAAATGTAGAAATGAGAAGTTCAAGTTTTTGCAACTGATTATGAAGGGTAAAATCGAAGAACAAAGTGGTCCTGATACTGAACTGCATAAATTGTTTTACTTGCAAATTAAAATTAATTTTGGATATGAGCACGTGTGTTTTGTCGCATAGTCACTTACGGTCAAGTCAAAATTTGACCAACGCAACGTAGCAAAATAATTAATTATTCTCGATTCGCTATTCCCAGTCCGAACTGTCTAGTGAATTTAGTAATTATTTGTTTGCGAAGTTAGTTACTTTTGACAGACTAAAATTCGCTGGAAATTACTATACAACCAAGCACACGTACTTATAGCCAATATTAATAGTAAACAAACTAAATAGTAAATAAAATAGAACTTTGCGAATTGCAGACAATCAATATTTATTTATCTGCACCATACAATAAATAGTTTATGTTAAATTATAACAACTAAAATATATTTTTTAAATATATACTACCCAAAATTTGATGGGTTTAGTATACACTTCCACTATTTAGAATAATTCTTCTTTTTTCAAAGAAAGAAGTCTGCAATAAAAGTGTACTTGAGCTATTAATACTGAGAAGTAGGAATTGTTGTGTTGTAGGTTTCCGACAATGAATCTGTCAAAATATGCCCGAGCTAAGCGAATGGAGTATACTAAATTTACTAAAGTTTAGAACTGAGTTCAGTAAAGAGTATATTTGTTTTATTTACTTTAAAATTCAACGAGAGACTGCTTTATAGATTTTTACAAATATTGTGTAAACATTTTTATTATTTTAATAATTTTATAAAATGATTTAAAGAATTCTTTACTTACTTCGGTTGCATAACATCAGCAGCCAACGACGTATGTTGGAATTCGTCCTTAGAATCCAGGAACGGATATCCGTTCAACGCTATGTGCGCATCGTAAATACCCTGTCGCCCTAAAGCGTCTCCCACCCACTTACTGGCCATAGCAGCTGCCATTAACGGTACTATATACCTAACTCCACCCGTCAGCTCGAACATTATGACGACGAGTGACACTGTCATTCTAGTGACGCCTCCGAGGACAGCTGCTGCCCCCACCATGGCGTACAACCCGGGCGTTATGCAGTCCTCTCCTGTCGAACACTCTCCGCTGAAGAACCAGATCTTAGGATATTTAAAGGCTAGTTGCTCCATACCTACAAAATTATACTAATTTTAAACTTGTAAGAAGAATACCAAGAATATGTTATCTACTTTCTACACAAATTTTCTTATGTCATATTTTTATATAGAATGACTAATATTAAAAATATTGTAGTGGTAGTAATCGTAGTGTGTTGTGCTCTTTGTTATTGGCTGTTCATTTCTGTATACAGTGTAAGTAAAAGTTTATGGTCGGTATGGTAAAATTTAACAGGATATCTATCACAGATATAAAATCATATTATCAGCGAATTGACAAAGATAATCATATTTTCCCTTGGTCTCCCCTCCACATTTCTCATAGACGCCCATTAGTGAGAAGATTATTTCCGATCTTTTCCGAACGAGAGATATTTTACATATCTCTCGTTCCGATCCAGCTTATACCTAAGAAACTAGAGGTGGGTCGTTGACATTTTTATCTTAACGAAACTAAACTGTTTTTCGTAAACAAGTAACTAGTTGATTGTTTACCAATAGTTTCAAATAAGCGAGTACATTAACAAACATATTGGCTATTATCGTTTATGTGTGTATGTATTGAAGTAAAAGAAACTAACGAAGGACATATTTATTATAACTTGAAAAATAAATTAAACAATACAAATAGTAAATAGTACTTACATTTACATTACACATTATTAAATCGCGAATCGTCTAAATTGACATTTAAAAACGTAAGTTTTTCCACTTTTCTTGTTAACCGTATTCTTCTTTTATTTAAAATTAAACCAGATTTTGAACATATGTTCACAAGGAACAGATTTTGTTACAATACTACAATATTTTATGAATATAGTGGTTAAGTTAGGATATACATGGCGATGGTTTCTCCACCACTGTAATGGACAGTTTCAATCTCCGTTCGAAATTTTTTGTGGGTAATATATCATCAGACAAATACATGTCGACTTCTTTTATATCTCTCGATACAGGTGTATGTATAGATGTCATGTTCAATTAACTCATCAAAAATACACCATGGACTTAAGTCATCTTTATCAGTTTCTTTTTCTGTACTGGTTGATTTTCAATAGTACAATCTTCTGTTTCTTTTTTTATAGAAGTAACCAGTTTCTTAACTTTTTCTTTTGTTTTTGTTTACCTTCATTTTTATCAGAAAATCCCTGTATTTTAAATCATTATTTGTTATTTACGAATCTACGGTTTCTCACTGGTAAGCCAACTAGTTGATGGTTGATTAAAAAAAACTGATGTGGCAGTCCGGTGGGACTGTCGGTAGAAAGTATACTTCTATTCACGCGTTCGCCGTTAAAAATTTATATGGTAGCCAATCTGCACAATCATTACATACATCATTACGTACATATGTAATGCTATAGGTAAGAGAGAACAGAAAGAGAAAAATAATTAGTTATATAGGTATATGATGCATCGTTTGTTGTATATAAACATTTCACCTGTAATAGGAGTATAGTAAATGAAGGATTGTATCAATATTTTAATCAAAATATATATATATATATATTTTTATTTTTATATATGTATAAAAGGAGTTGAATGCAAAAAAAATTTTTACACATACTCTGCAGTAAAATTCATTGTTGATTTTGTTATTAATACAAAAATTACAATACAATAAATAAACTGCAATAGAATTCAATATAATAATACAATATAAATTAAAATGTAATATTCATAAGTATTTAAAAATGCCAATATACATAACTTACTTTACGAAGATAAAAATAACAAACCAACAACTCGGATTATGTTGTAAATTTTCTTAGCAATTTTGCGTATATTACATATATTTAATAACATTAACGTAAGTTTTTAAATATTTAAAAAATAAAAAAGAAAATTCATAATTGGGATTTGAACTCACAACCACCAGCGTATGAGCCAAACACCTATGTGCCAATTAGACATGATACTAACGGATTTCAAAATTGAGAGTTCTTGGTCAAATAGTGATTATGTTGAAATACAAAAGCCTAAAATAATTATAAACGTTTAATAAATAATACAAAACATATCACATAAATAATAATATTAATACATATTATGTATATATATATATATATATATATTATATATATATATATATATATAATATTAAATATATAAACAAAAGGAACATTTTTATTTTCGAGAGAGGAAGAAAGAGAAAATATATCTTCTGTCTCTCTCTTACTCATTATCTTACATATGTAATGTTTTGACAGATTCACTCTCATGCAAATTTCCAACGCCGACCGTGCGTATAGAAGTATAACTTCAAAACCTACGTTTTGTATAGACGTAAACAGAGGAGCAACGAACACTCTACGTCGACCAGGACGATTAGTTGATCTGAGAGACTACTACAAAACTAAAAATAACATGCGACTCTTTCAAGACAGTGGACAGTCGGGCTATCGGTTGACGTTGAAAATAAAATAACTAGGTATTCTGATTAATAAATGAGTTTCGATTTTCGATTGTTCAGCATTTTCAATTTCAAGATAGTTTGTCAAAGGATTTATTTATTGTAAATATTCAATTAAGAAGTCTTTTTCTTAGTCAAAATTATTGACCTAGTATAAGAATAATATTGTTATCTTCAAAAAATGCACATTTGTAGAAGATGCAGCTTTTACGGTCCAATTTCTGAATATTGCAATGATTGAAACTTCTCCTGACGCATTTCTGTTCGTTTCGACTATTTCTACTACAAGTACTGGCATACTGCTACCGCCACCCAAGCGGCATAAGGTGATGGATACTTCCATTAATAAAAATATTAGTTTAGAATAAAAGAAACAAATAGATATAGATTTACTAAACCTATGCAAAGACTCGTTTCATCCGTTTTCCATAGTTGAAGAACGAACTTTTAAAAAGTTTGCAGGGTGGATTCCTGGATATAAACCACCAACAAGAAAAACTTGTCAGGTTCATTACTTCCTGAATGTTATATCAAAAATGAGCAAATTATTAGATCACAAGTTGTTAAAGAAGTAGAAAATATCTGTATTACTACTTATCTCTGAACATCTGAAGTAACTGAGAGTTACATCGCATTAACAGGACATTATTTAACCGAAAATTTAGAATTTAAAACGGTTTTATTAGGTTGCTGCCATTTTTCTGGAAACCATAATTCAGAAAACATCGCTTTTGAAATTAGTGAAATTATTAATCAGTGGGGTCTAAAACGAAAAGTAAATTTTGCAGTAACTGATAATGCCCCAAATATGATCAAAGCTATTAAAAATGTTTTGGAATAAAAACATTTAAATTGTTTTGCTGATACGTTAAATTTATTGGTGGACCCGCACTTAATGCTGCCGTGTACAAATAGATAAAACAAAAAGTTTTTTTTTTCGATATTTCGGCAAAAAAACACATTTCAAAAAAAGTACCTTATCTTCAGAAATGCTTTTCAATTACAACATAACAAAGTTCCCAAACGGCAAATCCAAGACGTGGAAACTAGGTAGAACTTCACCTATTACATGTTAAAAAGAATGACCGAGTTAGAAGAGGCAATCCGTTCCAAATTGATATTAGTTAATACAGACCTAGACTTAGACCAAATCTAAATAATGAAGACTAGATTATTTGTTCCCAACTTTCCCAAATTTTACGACTTTTTAAAGAAATAACAAATACAGTAAGTGGCCAAAAATGCTTGAAGGGTAGTTCAGTGATTGTTATGGTAGGCTGCCTGCAAGAATCTTGCAATAAAATTTTAGGAAACGGTAACGTTACATCAATAGTATCCGATGTAATACAATTACTAATATCGGGTTTAGCAAAAAGATTCAGAGGGATAGAACAGAGTAGCACATTGTCATTATGTACATTTATGAATTCACAATTTAAAGTGCAGGAATTTTCTGAAAAAAATTAAGTTAAAAAAACAAGAGTTAAGAGTTAAGAAGAATAATTAAAAAACAAGAAGATTGTACTATTGAAAATCAAGCAGTACAAGATAAAGAAACCGATAAAGATGACTTAAGTCCATGGTGTATTTTTGATCAATTAATTAGACATGACACATCTAAACGTACGCTTGTATCGAGAGTCCATTACAATGGTGGAAAAACCATCGCAATGTATATCCTATTTTAACCACTATATTCATAAAATATTGTAAATGTGAACACATGATCAAAATCTGGTTTAATTTTAAATAAAATAAGAACACGGTTAACAAGAAGTAAAGTAGAAAAGCTTATGTGTTTAAATGTAAATTTAGACGATTCGCGATTTAATAATAGCGTGTAATGTAAATGAAAGTACGATTTACTATTTGTATTGTTTAGTTTATTTTTCAAGTTATAATAAATATATCCTTCATTAATTTCTTTCACTTCAATAAATATACACATAAACGATAATAGCCATTATGTTTTTTTATGTAGGTACTCTCTTACTTGAAACTACTGTTAAACAATCAACTAGTTACTTTTTTTACGAAAATCGGTTCAGTTGCGTTAACTATAAAAACTTCAACAACCCACCTCTACTCGTTACCACTGTCCGTACTTTGACGACACGAGACGCGACGTTGCCAAATAATTTTGTATGAAAATTTTTCATTGTGGCGTCATAATGCAGTTTATTATTTTTTATTAGGAATTAGGCACAATGTGACTTTAAAATAAGCTTATTTTGATGCTTAGATTTTTAATTCGGAAATCGTACTTAAAATTCGAAACATTAATAAATCTTATTTATATAAAACCATTTCCGAAATGGAAATCAAAATGTTAAATTACACTTAACTTGAATGTTACTTGTTGACTATTACTGTTAACTTATTGATCATACAAAATCATATAAAATTGTGGCATATTCCCAATAAAAATCAGTAAGCTGCCATTTATATTCATTTCGCCCAAATTTGATTATCTTAGAACATTGCTCAAATGCTAAAAGGACAACAGGTCAAATAAAACTAATAAGTTTGGCAACGTTGAATTTCCACTTTTTTATTATTTCCACTCATGCATTTTCGACTATATAAAGGGCGGACCTAATATACCTCTCTCTTCTTAAACAGGTGTTTCTCACTCCATCTCACGTAAGGTCCATACCGACCATAAACTTTTACCTATACTGTATATGGAACAAAGCTGAGAAAAGTATATATCCTTGTGCAGGCAATTCTATTATTTCTCCATATCCTTTTTTCCCTTCCCTGGCTCAACTTAGTTTTGTTGTGCAGTAACATATCAATGAAAAAATGTATAATGAAAAATACATGTTTACTTACCAATGCCAACAAGTCGACCGACGATGGCTCCCAAACACAACGATGGAATAAAGAGACCGCAAGGTACCTTCATGCCGAATGTGAAAACGGTCATAACGAGTTTCAAAATAAGGGCTAAGATGAGAAGCCATACAGCTCGGTGTACTCCGTCGTTGGCCGCTGCAATTTCTATGGCTTTATTGACGTCCGTGAAGTTGCGGTTATAATCGCTAAAAGGTATAAATAGAATTGTAATAAGAAATGTAATCGTAATTATAATTGTAATTGTAATCAAAATGGTAATAGTGATTATACTCTTAATTTTAATCATTATATTACGTTCAAGTGCAAGTCTATAAAACCGTCTGCAAAAAAAAATATGATGAGGTTTTTATCGAAGCAGATATCAGTTACCATCGATCGACTATTTAGTTGTTAAGTTACACGGAGGTCAAGAATTTTTTAAAAGTAACCTGAGTCAGCTTTATCAACAAGTGGTGATTTTTTCAAACTTCCAGCTTGTAACAAAAAATAATATAACAGTGATAATGAAGAGACGGAATAGACGAAGGCATCCTTCTAAATGGTGAAAGAGTAAAAAATGTTAGATATGCCGACGACACCATGGTGATAGCAGATAGTTTAGAGGGACTTCAGAGGCTAATGGATAGAATAAACGAGTACAGTCAACAGTACGGACTAAACATTAATACCCACAAAACGAAACAAATGATTATTAGCAAGGAGAATATAAACGGGGCTCATCTATACATTAATGGGACGCAGATAGAGCGAGTAAAACAGTATTGTTACCTGGGAACTATTATTAACGAACAGTGAAGCAATTTACAGGAAATAAAGTGCCGCATGGGAAAGGCAAGAACGGTCTTTAACAAAAGGAGCGCCATCTTCAAAAGTCACAACATATCCCTTGATACAAAAATGCGACATTTGAGATGCTATGTTTTCTCTGTGTTATTGTACGGGGCGGAGACATGGACGCTTACAGACACCACTATTAAAAAACTTGAAGCATTTGAGATGTGGCTTTATAGAAGAATGCTGAGAATATCATGGACAGCAAGGATCACGAACAAGGAAGTTCTAGGAAAAATGAAGAAGGAACCTGAGATTGTGTTTACAATCAAACGCATAAAATTGCAATATCTGGGACACGTTATGAGAAATGAGCACCGTTACTCCCTGCTACAGTCTATATTGCAAGGTAAAGTCAAAGGTAAGCGAGGACCCGGTAGAAGGAGAATATCATGGCTGTGGAATTTAAGAACATGGTTTAAGAAAACCTCAACGGAGCTGTTTCGAGCCGCAGCGAGCAAGGTTATGATTGACAATAACGGATAGGAACCAGAAGAAGAAGAAGAATGAAGAGAAAAATAAATTATTAAATTAGTGAGTTCTATAACAAAAAAAAACATTCTCACTGAAACTGCAACAAGTCTGATTGCGACGGTGAATATGTGTACAGCGAGTCGGATAAAATAGAATAGATTTGAACAAAAACAACATTTAACGACTACTTAATTTAAACAGCATCATAAGTGGCTGGACAATCCGTTGTGGATCTTGGCCTGCACAAAGAAGTCGCCACTCCTGTCGATTCCTGCCAACTTCCCTCCATCTTCTGACCCTTAGGATCTATAAGTTTTCTTCCACATCATCAATCCATCTCCTTCGTGGTCGTTCTCTGCTTCTTGTGTCCTCTGGTTTTGAAACTGTTAATATCTTCGTCTATTCGTGATCTGACATCCTAGCAATGTGTCCGGCCCATCCAAGTCTCCACACTTGAACGAATTTCACTATATCTGGATAGGTGTACAACTGATACAGTTCAAAGTTGTATCTTCGACGCCATACCCCATTTTCATTTACGGTCCCAAAAATCTTTCTCAGAATTTTTCTCTTAAAAATACCAAGAAGTCTTTCACCTTCAACTTGATTACTTGATTAAATATTGATTAATACAAATACAACTTGATTAAATATTGATACAAATAAAGAGAAAATAGAAGAAGATGTGTAAAATTTTATAAGAATACATCTAAACGAGACAATGGCATCAGACTAATAAATCTAGCAACTTCCCTTAATATGGTCATTGCCAGCACATGCTTCCAGCGAAAAAATATTCATAAGGGAACGTGGAGATCTCCAGATGGGGTCACAGTAAACATGATCGATCATGTTATTATTGACTCTAGACATCACTCAGATGTAATAAACGTATGCAGCAGAAGAGGGACAAATGCAGACTCGGATCACTATCTAGTGGAAAATAGAATAAGAGCCAGAATCTCAAACATTAAAAAAGAAAATGGATCCAAAATTGAAAAATATGAAATAAAAAACTTAGCAGGCAACAGCAATATGGCAAAATAAAAGAATATATAAAAGGAAGGCTAGAAAATAGACACAAGCACGAGGATATAAACAGAGAATGGGAAGCGTGTAAAAACATCATACAAGATGCGGCCAAAGAGACTCTGGGTCTACAAAAAAGTCCAAATCAACTGAAGGACAGTGGTTCGATGAAGAGTGTCATAATATAACAGAGAGGAAAACTAATGCATATCAACGACTACAACAACCACATAGAACACGAAAGGCAGAGGAGGAATATAGAATGCTAAGGAGGGAAGAGAATAAAATACATCGAAGAAAGAAAAGAGAACACATAGAAAAAGAACTCAAACAAACAAGAAATGAAAGAACTAAATAAACCATCAGAAAATGCTACCAAAAAGTTAACAACGGTAGAAAAGAATTAAAACTAAGAAAAATAATGTGTAGAGACAGAGGAGATATAGTAACTCAACAGAGTGAAATACTACAAAGATCGACAGAATTATTCAAAGAAAAGTTTGAAAAAAACGAAGATCCACTATATGATGGAATTATACTGGATCAAACAGATACCAGAGAAATAACCCCCCTTCAGTAGCTGAAATGCAAGAAGCATTTAGCAGGCTGAAAAACAACAAGTCACCTGGATTAGATAACATTAGCGCAGAATTAATAAAGGAAGGTGGAGACTCCTTATTGAATGCGATACACGAACCAATAGTGAACATCATCAGTTGGCGCTACAGCCCTTCGTGAGCCTTGGCCTGCTTCAAAACATTCTTCCATCCTTCCCTATCGAGTGTCTGTCTTCTCCAGCCCCTCACTCCAATCTCCCTCAGATCTTCCTATACATCGTCCAGATATCTGAGTTTAGGTCGCCCCCTTCTTCTTCTTCCGACCGGCCTGTTTAGCATAGTTATTTTAGTGGGATTACTCTCATCCATCCGCATAACGTGGCCCACCCATCTTAGGCGGTTTATTTTGATGGTCTTCACAATATCTGCATCAACAAAAAGTCTATAGAGTTCAAAGTTATATCGCCTTCTCCACAGACCCTGTTCGTTTAATCCGCCATATATGGTCCTCAATACTTTTCTGTCAAAGACTCGTAGTAACTCTTCATCTCGGTCGTCATTGCCCATGTTTCCGATCCGTATGTGAGCACTGGACGTATTATTGATTTATAAAGTTTGCACTTTGTTGCTATTGACATACTTCTCGCTCTTAGTTGAGGGCCCAGGCCAAAATAACAGCGGTTAGCCAAGCATATTCTTTTTTTTATCTCGTTGGATGTGTTATTTTTGTAGTCTACCAGTGATCCTAAGTAGCAGAATTCTTCTACCATTTCTATCGTTTCGTGTTGCACCTCTATATATATGTTCAATAGTGAACATATGGAATAATAAACAACTGCCACAAGACTAGAATACCGGAGTAATTATCCCACTACGTAAAAAGGGAGATCAGCTTCAATTCAAAAACTACCGGGCAATAACGCTACTGACTGTGGCATATAAAATACTGTCAAATATTGTGTATGACCGATTGAGACCATATGCGGAACAAATAGTTGGGGGATATCAATGTGGTTTCCGCAGGCAGAAGGTCACAATAGATCAGATCTTCGTCTTGAGGCAAATCTTGGAAAAGACTAGTGAATTTAATATAGACACAAATCATCTTTTCATTGACTTTGAGAGTGCCTATGATAGCATCCATCGAGAGTTTCTGATCCATGCACTGAAAGAGTTTAATATTCCAACTCAACTCATTGATATAGTAAAAAAAACACTTTAAGTACAAAGCAAAATTCCAATTCAAAACGAACTAACAGATACAATCCATGTGAGAACGGGCCTACGACAGGGAGATGCCCTATCCTGTATTCTATTAAACATCACATTAAAGAAAATAATTAGGGAGTCAAAAGTCAACACCAGAGGAACAATAATAACAAAAAGTGTACAAATATTGGCATTTGCAGATGATGTTGATATCATAGCTAGAAGCGACAGAGAGATAATACAAGCATTTAATGCGATAGAAAGAGCGGCACAAAACAGTGGCCTAAACATTAACGAAATAAAAGCCAAATACATGAAGGGCAGTAAATCGACAAGCCAAAAAAACCTACAGAATCTGACAATATGAGACTATAACATCGAAAGCGTGAAAAGTTTTACATATCTAGGTTCACTAGTTACCGCAGATAACAATATCAGTGAAGAAGTTAAGAGAAGAATACATATTGCTAATAAAACATATAATGGACTAATTAAACATCTAAGATCTAACAACATCATAAGAAAAACCAAATGCAAAATATACAAGACCCTGATAAAACCGGTCCTTGTATATGGATCAGAGACGTGGACACTGTCGAAAAGCGATGAGAACCTATTAGGTACATTTGAACGAAAAATCCTTAGTCACATATATAAGAGGGTAAATGAAAATGACATATGGCGCAGAAGATATAACTTTGAACTATACACAGCATACAATGAACCCGAGATCGTAGTTGGGGCCATGTTGAACGGATGTTGGAGACTGAAAAGCCAAAACATATAATGAGGCAAACACCAGTAGGGAGAAGGTCAAAGGGAAGACCCAAACATAGATACATGGAACAAGAATTAACAAGAACAATCTGAAAACACTTAAGATTACCAACTGGAAAAACAAAGCAAAGAACAGAACAGAATGGCGGAAAATCCTAGAACAAGCCAAGACCCAGAAAGGGTTGTCGAGCTACTGATGATGGTGATGATGATGACATCTCAACGAGGAAGTAAATGTAGAAAGAGAAATAAAACTAGGGCAGAAAACTTGTTTGCTACAAATAAGAGAACGTGTAGAAAAAATAGAATTATGCAAAAAAGAGTCATCTGAAAAAGAAAAAGGAAGAAATTCATAAATTGTGATTTAACAGCCACAGAAAGAGTAATGAGAAAAGACATAACTGAAAAATGTAAAACACCACAGGGAAAATTAGGTTTTATAAAAACCATAGTAGACAGAGAAGAATGCGATGGAAAAAGAAAGACTTTTTTAAAAATATTAGGATGCAAAAGCTAGGTAGCAGCGGAAAGGAAAAAAAAAGTCAGAATAACGGAGACAATTTATGGTAAAAACAAGGAATATGATAAAGACAAAACTGACAAAACCCCTGCTATGACAACAAACAGGAATACGTTAAACCAACGAATGAAAAAAATAAAACTGTAGCACTGGCTCTTTTACCTTCATTGTATACCGTGGGTGTAACATCACTGTGGACTATTTTATTGGACAAATTCTACTAATTCCGTCACAAAAGTCTGATCTGTTCTACCAGAGGCGACATACAAAAATACTGGTTTTATATTACGTCTTTAGATATGTTTTGTTAATCAAAAGATGAAAAACAAATAATATTGCAAATATTTCTTAAGGTACCTACTAGTACCTACTAGTAGAAAGCTAAAAAAACGCATATTTTCAAAATAAATTTTCTAAGCTCCATACCAGCATGAAATATGATTTTCGAACATGATTTATTATTTTTTATCTTGTAATTAAACAAAAAAATTTTTAGTTCCCATGAACTAAAAGAAGAACGCTAAAGAAAGAGAAAAAAAATTTTGACATGCAAAAATTGATAAAAAAAAATCTATTTTTTTTTAATCTTTTTCTTCAAATGTCCGCTATTTTGTTTTTTATTTTAATTTTCGACTAAAAGCAGTTGATAGCCTTGAAAGGGCGCTTTCTTTAAGTAATCGCGTTGGATTTTTTTGTTTAAGATGTACCAATTCTCAGAGTTAGTGTCCGCTATTGCACACCTTTTGTTGAGACGTTAACTTAAGCGCCCTTTAGAAAGTGGGTTGTTCATGGGAACTAAAAAAGTTTTTTATTTTTGTTTAACTCAGACATAAAATAATATTTAAAAAAAAAACATGGTTGTATCTAATAAAAGAGCTGAGAATTTTTTTTTGTTTGTTGAAAATATGCATTTTTAGTCATCTTATCTGTAATAGTACCTTAAACAAAAGCATTACTATAAATTACAAAAACTTACCATAAATCATCAGAATTGGCAATTCCACATTGGCTAAACAAAAGGAAAATAAGTTGGCTGGTGTTCATTCGTGTGTATGGATTTGGATAGGCGATAATAGCAGTGATTACAGTAACTACGAGCACTTCGGTGACTGGGTATTGGCCCAATTTCGAAGATTTCCTATATTTACACCAATATAAGTTCGCTTTTATGAAAATAGTAGCTATAACGCCCTAAAAAATAATAAACAACCAATTAGTCAAATAGTTATAGGTAACAGACATGCAATAACTTGGGGAATGACGTATGATCGCTTTCGTAGTAGCCCTATCAATAAACGCTATGACCAAAAAAAATATAAATCAAGGATGAAAATTTGGGAATAGGTAGATGAAAGTGTCAATTATAAAATAAAAAATGTTTACATTCCTAAGTACCTCTGTTTTATTTTTGAGTTTTCATATTCGCTCCGTGCGTGACCATGGTAGGGATACATTGAAACGATACCAGCGTGCGTAGCGGCGAAATATGACAAAATTGAAATATTCCACAAAATATTTTTACGTATACATTTTATCAAAAATGTGTGCAAATACATGTTGCGTATTTAATTGTGCTAATAATAGCAAAAACAGTGAGTGTAGTTTTTATAGGCTCCCAAAGATTACATATAAATTAGAAAAAAGAAAAAGATGAATTCGTGCTATTAATATGAAAAAGTAAATATATAATTTCATTTTTATGCAATTTAAATAGGAAAAATTTAAATAATTTACCTTGAATGATATTTCATAAGGCTGCAAGCTAACAGCAGATGACTTTAGCTTTTATATCATAACTTTTACTATTATTGTTTTTAATTATATGCTCTTTTGCGTGAAAAACTTGATTTGCCAGTACTATATTTTTCCCTTTCTTTTTCGTTTGGAGTTGAAAAGATATATTATGATGAATTTTGAGAAACCCAGTTTTTAATACATTTATTTTGTACATAAACTGAAAAAATATAGTTAAAACACTAATTTATTAATAATTGTCAATTTCGCATGTATTTAACAATGTCAAACATGTCATATGTTTAATCTGAAAATTGGGAGGTCCAAAATTGTCAGATAAAGGCGGTAGGTGTCGCGTCAGTCACGCACGGAGCGAATATAGGGATGTATTTCGTAAAATAAACTTTGTTGAAAAACTGGATTTTAGTATTGCAAATGTTTATTAACCCATAAGGGCCATGCGTCGCTTTAAAGCAACAACAAACATGCCTGTGTTTGGGAGGAGCTGAAGTCATAAAACAACTATAAAAGATTCCATCAACCATATTCACCCTGCGTATTTATTTGCAGTGTTAAGAACTGATTGTTAGTTTCGTGCATTTAAAATATAGTATAATATTAAAGCTTGAAAATAATATACATTCGATTTGATTAAGTAACAATTTATATATGTTAAATTTGTATTGATTATACTTCTAACAAAACATATTTTACATGATTTATATGTATTGATAAATAACTACTTGTCAGTACCTGTTGTAACCCAGCCGTTGCTTTAAAACAACGCTAGGCGCTTGTACTACCTATATTTTAAATTTTATCGTTTTGTTCTAGACGAGGTATTTAGCTTGTTCAAGTTCTTGATATAATTTATAATGATGAACTAGATGACGACATTTTTGTAGAACCTTCAGATACAAATGTAGCCACTGACGAGACTTCAGATGATGAAGATGAAGAATTTTTATAATAAAAATGTATGACCCTAGCAATGTAATGGTTAATACCATATTTAGGCTGGTAGATAACCTTTCATCCCGTCAATTACGTTCCGGAGCAGAAATACCACTACCAAACAATGACTACCAAAGAATTGGTTTGAACGAAGATTATATACAGAATGAAGACATTCCTGGCAATAATTTTGAATCTGAAGTGGTAAAAAATTGGATTTCAAAGAGATTTCTTGAGCCTCGAAATCCACCTGAATGGTTGAAGGGAACAGACTTTGACAAAAAACGTGCATCAGCATTTCCAAAACCCGACTATTCTAAATATGAACAAATGTCTCCAACGAAAATATTTGAACAATTTGTAAATGATGCATTTATCCAACATTAAGTGGACGAAAGTGCAATATTTTTAAATTGTCCCGATCCCAAGATAACAGGTGAGGAGATCCGTAAGTGGACGAAAGTGCATTATTTTTAAATTGTCCCGATCCCGAAAGGTAAGGACATCCGTTTGTTTATTACTATTTTTTATATATAAGTGGGTATATAAGTGTTCCGGAAAATAGTGCGTTCCTTAAAGGTATGGGCTGAGTGTAGCATTTAAAACAAAAAAGTCTTATAACATTTTTTTATAGTCAACCGTTTTCAAAAAAAAACTATATTAAATTTAATCCATTTGATTAGTGTCCACAGAAAAGCAAATACATCCGGCAACGTTGCGCTCCAAAAAGGTATGGGCAGAATGCGATAGTTTAATTTATTTTGATACAGGGAAGGTACATTATTTGTAAACAGTTGTAATTACCCGTAGCTCAAGAATGAATAGTATTGTATTGTTTTCGACACTGTGACAGTAATAGGGCTGTTAGACTTTATGTTGAACCCTATCCCGAACGACGACATCCTAATGCACGAAGTTTTATGAACGTGTCCCAAAGGGTATTAGAGACGGGTTGTGTAGTACCTAAAAAACTAGCACTAGAACACGAAGTAACCCTAGACTAAATGCAAAAGATGTGATTTTGGATATAGTCAGTAATAATCCAAGAGTAAGTACCCGATCTGTGACTATTCTTTGTTTCACGTTAAGAAAATAACATTACGCTTATGGAGATCAGTGTTGCCAAAACTCTCAGACACTCTCTTTTGCACGGATGTCCAAGATATTCCCTTTGCTTAATTTTTGAATTTTCATTTTCAATTAATATTTAACTGTAAAGTCAGAATAACTACTAAATAAAAGCCTTATTATCATTATGTAGTCAGAGACGACATAAAATAGCTGACATACGCACATCGTATTATTTTAAGTTGCAATTAGTAATTAGATATACGCATTCCAAGCGGTCAATATTTTCTACTGATTTTGATTCATGGCATATCGTATTCTCACCGAAAAACAAATAAACTGTCGTTACTATAATTAAAATAAGATAAAATAAAATTATCTTTTGTAAATACTGTTTATCTAATTAAAATCATTTTCCCTACTTTTCATCTCTTGTTTCCAATGGGCACTTTTGGTAAATTACGTTAAAAAACATTAATTTAATTCATGTTTGTGGAAACGAAAATACAAATTATACAACCCTAAATTGTGCTTGTGTGTGTCGTGGCAACGCCGCGTTGCTATCGTCCATAAGAAATACATGACCCTATCTTCGCAATGTTATTTTCTAAAAGTGGAACGTAGTATAGAATTGTTGGCATTTCAAAAAACGAGTGCAAGATATACACCAAGGCGATTTACCTCGAAGATTAAGATTTTGTAGATGGTTGGAAAGAGCAATGCTAGGTATATCACTTAAGGACAAGAAAACAAACACATGGATAAGACAGAAAACCAAAGTCACCGATGTGGTGCAAAAAGCATTAAAGCTGAAATGGGAATACGCTGGACATGTAGCTAGGAGCGATCTAAACAAATGGCACAGATCAATTTTAACCTGGAGACCATACCAACACAAAAGACCCAGAGGCAGACCTCCTATGAGATGGACAGATGATCTGAAAAGGACTGCCGGGAAAAATTGGCTACAAGTAGCGTACAACAAAAAACAATGGAAAGGAAGACTTGAAGAGGCTTATGTTCAGATGTGGACGTGAATGGCTAGACGAAGAAGAAGAAGAAGAAGATGGTTTCAAAACAAAATCGCCAGAGAACCCGAATTTCAGTGCAAAGTTTTGTTTGCAGATCAAGCTTGTTTTACGAGAAATCATGTTTTTAATTTTCACAATTGTCACGTGTAGAATGATGAAAACCCGAATTGAGGCGAAATTGAGGGAATTCAGGCGAAATTGACAATTATTAATAATTAGATTTTTAATTATATTTTTTCAGTTTATGTACAAAATAAATGTAGTATTAAAAACTGGGTTTCTCAAAATTCATCATAATATATCTTTTCAACCCCAAACGGAAAAGAAAGGGAAAAATCTAGTACTGGCAAATCAAATCAAGTTTTTCATGTGAAAGAGCATATAATTAAAAACAATAATAGTAAAAGTTATGATATAAAAGCTAAAGTTATCAGGCACTCTGCAGTTAGCTTGAAGCGTTATGAAATGTCATTTAAGGTAAATTATTTAAGTTTTTCCTATTTCAATTCAATAAAAATGAAATAATGTGATATTTACTTTTTCATATTAATAGCACGAATCTATTTTTTTCTTTTCTCTAATTTATATGTAATCTTTGGTAACCTATAATAACTACACTCCCTATTTTTGCTATTATTAGCACAATTTAATACGCAACATGTATTTGCACACATTTTTGATAAAATTTATGCTTAAAAGATTCCTATTTTGTCATTTTTCGCCGCTACGCACGCTGGCATCGTTTCAAGGTTCTCCTACCATGGTCAGGCACGGAGCAAATACGTAGGACAAATTTTAAAAAACAATTTAGTGTAAGTTTATGGGCTGGGATTATTGGTAATCATCTGATTGGACCGTACAAACTTCCCAGAAGATTGAATGGAGAAACCTATTTAAATTTTTTGTAGCATGTTCTACCGATACTTCTTGAAGACGTTCCGTTACAAATACGCTCTGAAATGTGGTTTCTTCATGACGGGGTTCCAGCACATTTTACAAGGCATATTAAAGATTTCCTCGACATCACTTATCCTCGTCGTTGGATCGGTAGAAATTTACACGTTCTGTGGCCATCCAAAACGCCAGACTGCAATGTTATGGACTTTTATTTTTGGAAACGTGTAAAATCATTAGTATACGACAACCAGGATGAAATTAAATAGAAGCTCAATTGCGACAACGAATTTTTGATGCTGCTGAAATAATCAGACATAATTTACATACTTATAATATTAAGAATAATTGGATTCGTCGAATAAACGCGTGTATATGTGCAAATGGTGTGTTATTTACAACATTTATTGCAATAATAATTTTCCATGTAAGTAAAAACAGTATTCAAACTTTAATTATTAAATATTTAATAAAAACAAATAATACATGGTTTATTCGTCTTCCGGGTTTGGACCGTGTCATTTGTGAGTGACCGAAAAGTGGGTTCATCTCGACGTTTCGCTACAATTATATGTAGCTTCTTCAGGAGAACAAAGAAAAAGAAAAAGAAAACAAAAGACAGGAAGATGGGTAGTTATCAACGGTAACTCAGTTACTCAACGCAACCAGAGACGATTACTAACTACCAAGATGGGCATTTGGTCACAGTAACTCAATTACTTAACGCAGCCAGAGGTGAAAACCAAATGCCAGGACAGGGATTCACGTCCAACAGCTCAGAACACTAACGCGTCGAGAGGCGGGGAGTGAATCCGACGATTACTCCGCTACCGCTCTATTTATAGTCGCGGTGACCTGTCGTGTCGGGACGTATCGGCACACTCCGTGGCGCGAACGTCAAGAAGCGCGCGCTGGCCAATCATGTGGCTGCATCGTGGTAGCGGGACCGGACGGCGGCTCTAGACTGAGATTCCAGATGGGAGACAAGTAGCATCCTTCCTCTCGATTGATATTATGTGGATTTTTTCGGATCTCTAGAGATTCGCGTATTTTCCTGGAATAAAAGAAGGGGCTCTTAGAAATAATATGGGTTTTTTTGAACAATATGGAATGACCGGTTTCTTGGCAGTGTCCTGCAACTGCAGAATGGGAGAAAAGACCTGATCGAATGCATCTTTGATGCTCTTGAATCCGAGTTTTGACGGAACGACCAGTTTCGCCAATATACACATGTCCACATGAACAAGGAATAGAATAGACACCACAGGAAGATAGGGGCGGTAATGGGTCCTTAGGAGAGGGTAGATATTGTGAGATTTTCTTGGGTGGTCGAAAAGTAGTCCTGATACCTTCTTTGCGTGGACTCTGGCCGTGGAAGCCTACGATTTCAAATAATACATGCTTTTTTTCTCTATCTCTATTATCAGTATCAAATTGTTCGGTGTCAATACATATTATGCCTAACATTCGATGATTCATGATAGCTGGTTTACAGTCGCAACGTTGCCGGCTGTATTTCCTTTCCATACCATTCAAGAGACATTATTGGAATTATTAGTGTGGGATTAAATGTGGTGTGTCAATACAAAAAATTGGTATTTAAATAACTGACACCATCAATTATTTGATACAGTACATTCCAGATGGGAAAAAGAGAAGATGTGCGTCTAAAACATGCAAATCTATCGTTAGAATAATGTGTGTAAAATGTGATATTGGACTATGCACTTCTTGTTTTATACCGTTTCATTCTCGATAGTGTAAATTTTTATAATTAATCACACCAAATTACATTTTTTTTATGAATAAATCTCTATGTTTGTTTTATTGCCTACTTTACTGTATCCCAAATGCTTTAATTTTTGGTTTATTATTTTCAACAAAAACTAGGTGGTGTAAGCGCCTAATGTAGCTTTAAGGCAATACTTATTATCTCAGAAATGAAATAAATCAGAAAAAATATTTTATAAAGTTTTTTTTATTATTTTTTGAACACAGTCCATTAATAATTATGTTAAACAATATTTTTTTACTTTCAAATAAATTGATAAAAATCGATAAAATGCACCAATCCCTAAATGTGTAGCGTTTTATATTTTAGATTTCTTTAATACACCCCTGGTTGTTTTTACCAAGAAAACGATCGTTAATATAGGAAGTTTTTTTTTAATATTTCGTCGATATTTTGTAAATATTTCAAGTTTTTTTCGACGAGATAAGGCTATATATTATGTTTTTATCTCTGTGTTATAAAGTCAGGCAAATACACCGGTCTTTGGGGTCCTCAATAAACTACGTGCTATTTTTAATTTGTATTATGTTATATCTATTTCAACATTTTTTTTTGTCGCATAAAGGGATTATAAAAAAGAGGTTTTATATGTCTTTCGTCGTTAAAAACGCAATAAGCTGGAATATTTTAAAGTTGTTTGTTTGTTTAGAACGAGGGTCCGATTTTTTTTGTTTGTTTTAAGTTTATGGATGACGGACTAAATGCGGGGAAAAGGGGTGATTCAGGTTCGAATTGAGAGAAGGAATGTGGGGCGTCAGTCAAGCTAAATTGGTCAAACACGAAGCTTTTGCGAAGTGTTTTATAAGATGTCCCGGTTGTCAGTTGATTCCTCAACATCTGTTCGATCGTTTCGTCCCGGAGAATGGAAATGGTTCTGATGTTTTCATATTTTCCAGTTTGAGAGTTTTGTTCAAGTAAGCTTTCTCAGAGATGTAACGAGTTTCAAAGTTAAGTTGTAATAATTAAAGTTTTATATTATGTTGTCGTAGATAAAAAATGTCATAATTTAATCTGTCTTAAGTTGTTATGTTGACATATGACATTTTGCTTTAATCCATTGCTGTTATAAGACAATTTTAATTTGATTATTTTATATAAAAGATATTCCATATGTAAGATTAAATTCAATATTTTTCATAAAAAGGAAACCTAGAAACCATTTAAAATTTTTGTAGCAATCTCTTATGTAAACGAAGAACATGTAAGTTTTTATTAATTTGGATTATGTTGTATAATATGTTCTTGTAAAATCTGTATTTTTGATAACTGTTTGTTTGAGACAAAAAAACCGTTTAATTTGTTTCTCTAATCTATTTTGAGTTTTACTTGAAAAAGATATTTTTTTCAATATTTTTGATATTCTATAATTATTTCCCTAGTTACAACTAGTGGTTGTAATAGGTAAAATTAGGCACCTCAAGTGGCGCCCTATATTAAATTCCTTGAGGTGTTTCCGGTTTATTTTCATTTCGTTTATCCCAAGAGATTTGTATAAGTACCCATTTATTTCCTTTTTTTGTAGTTGCCCCAATGCAACCCCCATATCTCCAACTTATCCATGACCCAGCTCTCCAACAACCAACTGAGTGCCGTACGCACTAGTTCCGATTATTTTGTTTGCCCAATCTTGTCCCCCATGTTCTTACCCTATGGTAAGCAAAATAATCGTTACAAATGTATTAATTATATTTTAACAGTTAATAAATAATTTGTTTTTTCAACTTACCCCAATAATTCCAAGTCCTATAAACGGAATCAACTCGAAAAATATCCAAGGCTTGTTGTATTCCACGTAAAATAGGACGGAATGCTCGTTTCCGAAAGGATTGATCGATCTCAGAATGAAAGCTGCTATCAACGCGCAGAAAAATGATCTCCAAAGCGTCTTCAAGGGAAAATAGTAGCTCACCTAAAAAAAATTCAATATTATTCAATATTATCCTTCCTGAAAAAACTACTGTTTTTATACGAAAAACAAATAAATTTTTATTTGTTAGTTAATGAACGAAAAAAATTTCAGAACAAAAGCAACAAGAAGAGAACCAGTGATACAATTGGACGCGTCCTACGTAAATATAATATCACAACTGGGTACACACCACTACAAATAAGATGATTAACGCTAAGAAATGCAAAGCACATTTTTTCATGAGAAAATTCGGAAGTCTACAGCACATTCTGCGGAACTTTTTACCAAAAATACATAGGACAAACCAACCGACGAATCTTTGTCCGATTAGAAGAACACAAACTAGGTCTCAGGAATAAGCAAATCTCGTCAGCTTTAGCCATATATGAACATCTTTTTTATATGAGTTTTCTGATCTCCCGACGTTGCTTGTATTCTACCAACTCATCTTGGTCCTTCTATCTCGTCCTTTATTAGTAGCTGTAAAATACGATACTGGTTACCTCAAAGAATGTGACCTACAGCGTATTTCAGACATGTGATGCAATGTACGAAGGATATGGACATGCAAACTAAATGAGAATTTTTTTGACAACGTTGCCGCTCTTCACGGCAGCAACCGTACGAACAACACACAAAGATTCTCAACAATTGTCTCAGAAAATTAGATTTTTAGTATGTTGGAAGAAATGGAATTTTAGTAATTACATGGATAGTAAACAATTTCTTTTAAATGACTGCCATAATAAATAAGGTAATTTTATTAGATTCATAATTACTTATTAAGAATAGAAAACATATTATATAATAACGTTTCCAATGATAATCTGATTGTTGTTAAAATCTATAGAATTGCAATAACTTTGAAAATTGCGACTACTGGCGCACTGAAGCAGTCTTATATCTACCCAATTTTTAAGGCCGATCCTCGCGATTCTGGGCATAGGTAAATTCCAATGTAAAAGTTTATATCAAATAACGCAAAAACTATGGCAGATATTGAGATGATTCTTTTTTTATATGGAAGGTCTAAAAAAGTTCTAGTGCACTATTTGGTTGTAAATTAATAAATTGTTTAAACAATTTTTTTTTCAAATATTTTTGGTTAAAATAAACGAAAAAATTTTTTTTTTAAATAGGGCACTAAAGAATTTGACCCACTTTCCGAATCTGTTTTTATTTTTAACATAAAGTGTAACACAAAGCAGCTATTTGATATAAACTTTTAAAAAATTTCAAATTTTTGCTAAACGCAATTTTCTCTCCGTCAGCACAGGGTGTCCTTGTCGGTAGCTTCTGGATTCTCGCCAGGTAGGTAAAACCCTCGGAGGAGGATAAATAAAGTTGAATAACATTATTAGGGCTTATTCCGACTTTTGACAAACCAGTGTGTTTATTGTATTTAAAATAGGAAATGTTATATAAATAAGCAGTAAGTAGGCCTACCTATAATTTTATTAAATTTTTATATGAATAGAAATATTTTCTGTTGATTTTCCATTTTCTTTCTAAATATTTATACTGTCTTTATAATAATACAATTGTTTCAGTATTTGCTTATATAATAATAATTTATTATATAGAAACAGCGTAGAGTTTTGGTCAATCATCCAGTACATTTTTTTTGTATTTCAATCAGAATTATTTTCTTTTTTTCTTTACATGAGCAGCTCAGAGTAATAACCAAATTTGCAGTATTTGAATATGAAATTTAATTATTTATATTAATTGGTTAGCAACCTACCAATCGTAAAATCAAATACTGCTCAAAGAAACAATGTACAGTCTAGGAACCGGATTGATACTATGAACACGACTACGACAAGAAATAAGGACAAGCAAAAAACATCCAAAACCCAGATGAGAATTACTTGGAATATCAAATCACTCAACTCTAGGGACCAAGAAATAACCCAAGTGTTGAAAGAGAAAGAAATAGACATTTGTGCTCTACAACAAACAAAAAACAAAGGAAAAGGTCAATCAAAATTAGGTGAATACATACTAATCTACAGTGGAGTAGCAAAAGAAAACAGGGCCAAAGAAGGTGTAGTCTTACTAATACACCAAAGGTATCAAAATTACATCAAAGAGTGTCAATACATATCAGAAAGAATAGTAACATCAAAGATAAGAATGGAGAAGGAAAACCTGAACATTATCGGAGTATACGGCCCAGAAAATAATAAGCCTCAAACAACAAGGAAAGTTTTTTACGACCAATTACAACAAGTAGTAGATCAAGTCAAAGAAAAGATGATTATTCACAGCTAATTTGATTATAATAATTAAGGAACCTCATTTTTTGCCATGTTAAGGAATGGGATTTGTATTTTTTGTTAAAAAATTTGCACAAACATTGTATCTTTACAGGACCCTCTACGAATTTTCAAAAATGTAGTTCAAATGGTGACTAGGAAGAACCTACAAATCCAAACCGAACAAGCAATTTCAAACTAATAAAATTTTCTATATCTCCGGATCTACTCAATGGATTTTGATCATTCTTTTTTTATTTGTATGTAATTTCTACGTACATTAGGAATTAGTAATTTGTTTATATATTAATTAATTAATAAATAGTCTAGTTTGTTTCAACAATTCGTGCAAAACAATTTTCTTCCAAAAATCTATTTTTTTTTTAATACTAGTATCAATAATTATAGAAACAGTCGCGTTTTTTACATTAAATTGTCAATAATTAAAAAACAGCTAATAAAAAAAAAGCAAAAAAAGAAGTAGGTTTTCTTCCTAAAGGTCTACAATAACTAAAAAAGTTGTCAGCGACCTGGATTATTGAGTGTCACGAACATGGTCTATTTTTTGCTTATTTCCCTGGAGTATATATTTGATGTGTAATTTCTTTATCGCTTCCTCGCTGGTTTTGCATATTGCTATGATAGTAATATCTTCGGTAAATGTTGCAATTGTATATTTTCTAGGACAATAATATAACACGTATACAAAAGGTAAAGACACTTCTTTGTGGCAGCCCTGCTGTAATATCTGTCAATTCCATGTATGTTTCTTCCTGTTTAATTCTGAAATATCTTTCCAAGATGGAGGAGTCAATTATTTGAGAGTATCGTTTTGGTAAATGTAGTCTTAGTTTATAGTTATGGCGTCTTCTCCATACTTTATCATATACCTGAGTCACATCCTAAATTATTGATATAAGGTTGAATGCTCGAATAAATGAACTTTAAAAAATGAAGGCAAATTTCGAGCACAAATTTAATAATCAAATCTTGCCAAAGTACTTTCGCTTTCTACAGCATCATCAGGGGCATCTGCGCTTGCTGGATAGCCCAAATTTGACGAAATAAGTCTAAAATGTTAATCACAAAAAACTTTTATCATCCATTAACTTCGAGTTTTTTATCGAAGTTTGTTAATTTTCTTCATTTAAAAAAACTTTTCTTGGCTTATTTCAGATGCCCCTGATGATGCTGTAGAAAGTGAAAGTACTTGGGCAAGATTTGATTATTAAATTTGTGCTCGATATTTGCATTAATTTTTCACCGTACATCCTAAAATGTCAAAATGTCCATCATATTATCCTTCATGATCCATATTTCACATCCATATAAATAGTTATACAATATATTTCATCATCATCATCATCATCAATGGCGCTACAACTCTTCGTACGTCTTTGCCGCGGTTACTATTGCCTTCCATATTTGTCGGTCCTGTGCCAGTAATTCCCATTGTCGCACTCCCATTTTCTCTAGATCTAGGAGTATATTTCCATATAACAAATTAAATCCTTAGTTGTAAATTTTTGAAATAAGTACTCAGTATACATCTAAGTTTCATAAATGCTCCTCATAAATCTCATAAATCTAAACTTTTGTACTCCGTTCTTTGTTGACAATTAGTTGCATAGGGCCGACGTTTACTAACCACAAGCACACAAGTAAATTATCTTATTTCTTTCATTTGACAATAATAATTGTCTGTTAGATTAGCATTGTAAGAAGTAAATTAGTCTCTTACTGAATGATAATAAACAACACATCAAACTTATTCTGAAACTATTTCTTGTGTCATGGTATATTTTATTAGATTTTGGTGTAATACATCACAACCTATCAAATTCAATATCAAAATTGGAAATGGTAGCGTGACTAAATTATTCCTTCCTTCAAGGAGTTTTAAAAAGAACTGATTTCTATTACTATCCAGTGCAAGGACAGTGATTTTGTTATTTATATCGAATAGAGAATACTGTTACTTTGCGGTATGGACCCCAAAAAATATTTTATTCTAAAAGATTGATAAATATATGGAACTGTGGGAAAATATGCTACAAAAATTTCAAGATTTTTATTATAATTTTTATTTGAAACACCTTCTGAAGAAACATTAGACATAATTCTATATTTATATCGTTTCATTTTATCAATTTTAATGATCGTGATACTAATCAAATTTTTATGATATATAATATTAATCTTTTTTTTATAATTTTTATTTTCCGTAAACTTTAATCTACGTTAAACTTCCGACAGACAATTTTTCCGTAAAAAAAATAACAAATAAATTATGTATGTACATTTTTTACATTGTAAATTTATGAATAGATTATATTACTTTGATCTGTTATTATATTTACTCAAAATACAACTAAAGAGATTTATGGTCTTATTGTAAGCTAAAACCTGTCACTGCAGGGGTTGTCTCGGTGTATAATCGGCTCGAGTAAAAGGTAAACGCATTTTTGACCTGGGCTTGAAAGAGATATCTAAACGAAGTTTAGAATATTACTTCATGAACAGATTTTGTTTTCGTAAAGAAAGAAATTTTTGAAATAGAGATAGCAAACTGAAATTTACCGTTAGGATTTTCGAGGATAAGCCTTAAATAAGGTAATAAACAAGAAAAAATTATTTAAGCGTGTGTAAACAATCCTCTATTCCAAAACTTTTCAATAGACTATTGTACGATCAATTAAAATTTTGTTGTTGAGAGCGCCTAATGCATAATCAACATGGATTTTCTCAGAATTAATTAACGGTAGCAAATTTAGTAGTCTTTAATGGTGGATACTATTTATACTGACTTCTCCAACGCATTTGACAGAGTAGATCCCAACATCCTATTAGAAAAACTAAATGCCCTTGGCTTCAGCCATCAATCCTTACAATGGTTTAGCAACTTTTTAAGAAACCGTACACAACAAGTGGGAATAGGTTAATTCAGTTATAATTCATGTGACATCAGGAGTACCACAAGGAGCTCACTGTACACCTTTGTTATTTAATATGTTTGAGAACGATATATCAGATTGTTTTAAAAATTAAGATTTTCTGATATTTGAAGATGATTTGAAATTATTTAAATCCGTAGATTCAAATGATGATATAACTTTAATGCAAGAAGATTTAGACCGGTTGAGTATTTGGGGAGTCACATTTGATGAACAGTTGCGTTTTGTATAACATATAAATAATGTAACAGTAAATCCATTAAAATCTTTAGGCTTTATCATTCGCAACTCTCTGAGACTACCTGTTTGGTAGTCTATCTAAACTAGAATATGCATCTTCACAATACCAAGTTCATTCTACTACACTGGAGAGATTGATTTTTTACACTGCATGTTAACACATTTTTTTGTAATGGAGGTGATCCCGTATATTAATAAATAAATATTAAATAAATAAAATATAAATTTACCTCTTCCAAACTGAACAAGACTCCTCCAATTGGAGCTCCAAAGGCTACGGACACACCGGCCGCCGCAGAAGCTGACAAGATTTCTCTCTTCTTCGCTTCATTCCTTCCATACTTTGGAAAAAGATATGAGAGAATGTTACCTACAATGGTACAACCTTAGCCACTACATAAAAACAAACGGGAATCCTTCATAATTCCGTTTCAATAAAAATTCATAAAAAAAATAAAGCGTGTGTATTGAGTACTTACCAATTGCACATGCTATGTGCACCATGGGTCCCTCTTTTCCTAAACTGAGACCAGCAGATACTGACAGTATCAAACCGACGCATTTAATGATAAGAGTCCATTTTCCAAGGTAGCCTCTTATAATAAATCCACTTAGAATAGTTTTTATCTAAAACAGGAAAGGATGCATTAAGATTTGGTTAGACCGTAAAAAAAATCATTTGAGCATTTTAAAATATTTTTATGGTAAATGCAAGAAAAATATTTTCTACCCATATACTAATTCATATATTCATTCATTCAACGAAACTATGAAATATGAGGTTACCGAAACCATTTAATTGTCTTCAGTCTGCAATTTAGGAGACTTTAATGCAAAAATTGGAGTAGGTACAGTAGATACAGGTGGAAATGGCAGTTCGGATTCGGAACTAGAAACGAGAAAGGAGAAAGGTTCATAGAGTTCTGCCAAGAAAAGAATATGGTAATTGCCAATACTTGGTTTCAGCTTCCTAAGAGAAGACTATATACATGGACGTCTCCTTCACATACAGAAAACCACATTGTCAGAAACCAGATAGACTTTATACTCGTAAATAGCAGATATAACAACTCTATAACCTCAGTTAAAACTTATCCTGGAACAGATGTTAACTCAGACCACAATCCGTTAGTTGCTGACGTGAAAATAAAATTAAAAAGAATTAAACTCAGAAAACAACAACCAAAAATTAATGTATGTAAGAATGCTAAAAAACGAAGAAATAAAAAACGAATTAAAAATAATGTGAATGTTAATACGCAAAAAACACTAACTGACAACAAACAAATTATGGATGTAAATAAAAAGTGGTATAATATATAAAAAAAAAAACATTACTGAAACCAGCTCAAGAAAGTTTGATACAACATAGGTCAGAGGCTAAAAAACAGTGGATGACAGAAGAAATACTATTGCAGATGGAAGAAAGAAGGAAATATAAAGGAAAAGATCTACAGAAGTATAAAGAAATACAACGAATAATTAAGGAAAAAATCAAAACAGCTAAGGAAATCTATTTGATGAAACAATGTAAAGAGATAGAAGAACTCGAAACAAAATATGATATGAGAAATATATGCACAAAAAAAAAGAAATGACTGGAATGGATCGAAATAGACAGCAAGGAGACATAAAAGACAAAAAAGTAGTACTACTAATAGATTTACCAGAGAAATTAGACGATGGGAGGAGTACGTTAGAGAACATTTTCAAGATGAAAGAGGTGAAATGCAGAAAATACAAGAATTAAATCATTTAAAGAGACAGAAGATCACGGTAGATGAAATCAAATATGCTATTAAAAACTCTAAAGATAATAAGGCAGCTGGATTAGATGAAATACCATTAGAACTGTTAAAACTAGTGGCAGAGGATAACTTATAAGTGTTGGCAGATTTATTTAACACGGTGTACGATAATAATACCACAAGAGTGGCTGAAGTTAGCAAAATAGTGCTCTATTAAAAGGCTAGAGGAGGAAGCAGTTCTCCTTATGATTTGGTTATTTTTTAGAGATTTTAATGTTCTACGGGTTAAAGAATAGTTTTTGTATTTCATCATCATATTTCAATTATACTCAGAGAGTTGGTAAAGTTCAGATGTAGAAATATTTTATTTCGAGTAAGGACTTATGGTTCCCGGTTAGTAATCCAATTATATCGGCATATTGCCGTATAATTTAATACTTTCAAGTATATTTTCTTCAATGTAAACCCAACCACTGTTTGGGTTTGCGCTTAGTTACGCAAGTACTCCAAAAGTTCACTGAAAATGAACTGATCAGATCGAAAACATTCTGAGCTTTATTATAATCCATTTGGATTTAATTTAATTTTTTAATTAAATATACCACTTACAACAGAAGTTGTTTACTTCGATGTTCGAGTATATTATTAATTTGTTGTTGAATATCTATGGATTGTTAAATTACTCACCTCTGGAATACCAGATCCGCATGCGTAAGGTGCGAACATGCGCACTAAGGAAGCTGATAAAGAAGCAAATAGGAGGGCCCATAGTATATAAAATAAATAAGAAATGATATAAGCTCCTGCTCCGTCTCTGCTTTGACCCAATATTTCCGACCATGTCTGCCACTAAAATAAAATATTATAATTAAATCTATACTAATTTTATTGTTAATTAATTAAAATAACAACCTTAGCCTTATGTGTTTTGTAAACTCTAATAGCACGATTACCGAACGTACGGAGATATGGCCCTATTAGTTGCAGAACTGCTTTTCGTATTTTCCATTTTTTATTATTGTTTTTACTAGAAAATTGAAATTGATTGTAACTTTAAAAAGTGCTACGGTAATTATCCTAACTTTTACCCTTTAAGATATTTAAAATTGGACTAGATCATAAAATATTGCAATGCGCAGAAGGTTTTATTGTCATAACAATTTGATAACTATAGAAAATGTCACACTGAGAGTGCAGTACAGGTAAGATACGGCAATGCTTTTCTTATGGAGAATAAACGCCCAGGGTTGTCGGTTTTCTCCAGCTGTTGATTGTCCATTGTGCCACAGGACCGGCTTGGATAAAATGCATCTGCCGGCAGTACGAGTAAAATATTTTATATAATGTATACGTATACAGTAGAATAAAAAGGCATTGATGAGTTATGGACAACAACGAAAACTATGAATTTTGCATATAAAACGTCAACATGAGATATACAATTGAATCATATTCATAAGAGTAACATTTGAACACCTCTTTACAAGAACAACATACAATAACTGTAGTTTTAATGTTTTACATAAAATAGAAAAAACCTACATAATTTCTAGGAAAGAATTTGGAAACTTGGAAATGATATTATTTATAGGTATTATATATATATATATATATATATATATATATATATATATATATATATATATATATAATATTCAACTTTCCAATTCTTTCATAGAAATTAGATTTTTTCTATTGTATATAAAATATTAAAAATACAGTTATGTTGTTTCTATAAATAGGTCTTCATTTCTTTTGTAAAACTTCGGCTACAATTTACCATCATTAACATAATCACCTAAATATGGCCATAAACTTGTTTGTCATAATTAGTATTTGATAAACTCCAAGCTTTTCCTATTTCACCCCCTACCCATCCTAAGGGTGGGTAGGGGGTGAAAGTGCTTTTGGAAAACGAAACTACACTTCAAAATTTAGTCCGAGTTTCAACAGAAAGCATGGAGTCCCATAAGTTTCAATCCGGTGAATTATTTAACGGTTGCGCTAAACTCGTAGTGTTAAATGTGTTGTGTTTTTTACAAAATACGGAACAACTTAATGTAAGTGCTGCTGTAAGACGTACTTCGTTGATGACTAGTGTTAGCGAATGAAGTATTTACAATTTCAAAAAAGAAAAAGAACAGAGTGGAACGTTGAAATCGCCAAAAAATCGTTCCAATTCTAGAATATTCATATATGACGAGGGTGTAAGAAGTATTCTACGGAGAATTGTTCATTGTGAATTTTCATGAAAAATTTGCCGCCATTCTTAAAGCATATACATAACTTCATACCAGGTAATGAGAATATACAGTCGTTGTCTCTTTCTACTTTATACAGACTTCTGAAAGATATTGGATTTGTTTATAAGAAACGTGGCCGAAGAAGCATCATGGTGGAGCGAGAGGATATTATTCATTGACGCCATAATTATTTGAGAACTATACGGCGTTTACGAAAAGACCATTGCAATATTATATATTTGGACGAATCGTGGGTTAATGTTGGCCAATCTATAAATTACCAATGGTGCGATACTACGATACAAAACAGTCGTGATGTTTTTCTCAAAGGTTTAAGTACTGGCTTAAAAGGACCTACTAAACGAGGTCCACGATATGTTTAATTGCATGCAGGTTTTTCAGGAGGTTTCCTTCCTGGCACACTGCGTGTTTTTCTGGCAAAGAAAAATGATGGCGACTATCACAATGAAATGGATGCCGCATATTTTGAGTCGTGGTTTAAGGAGACATTAATATCAAATTTACCAAATAATAGTCGCAGGAATGTCATTGTAATCGACAATGCATCGTACCACTCCCGTAAAGAGAGATTCCCTAACAATTCCTGGAATAAAGCTGCAATCAAGGAATGGCTAAATAAAAAAGACATTTTTTTCGAGAAGTGTTATTTGAAATCCGAGCTATTAGAAGCAACGCGTGCTTTTAAAGATCAATACGATAAGTATCATCTTGATGAGTATGCTTCACAACATAATGTTTATATTTTAAGGCTTCCTCCATATCACTGCGAATTGAATCCTATAGAAATGGTGTGGAACCAAGTTAAGCGATATGTAGGTACCCATCATACCACTTTTAAAAACTACGAGGTACGCCAGTTGATCGACGATGGTTTTGCACGCGTCACAGAGCAAAATTGGCTCAATTATGTCATTCATGTTGTTGAGAAAACGGAAACTGAGATGTGGTCTGCGGACACCCTGCAAGATGACGTAGACCAATTGATAATACACGCGAACACAGGGGAGAGTAGCGAAAGCGAATCCGACATCTCGGATGTAGAGGACGACTTTAGTATAATTAATTGAATATCTGTGAGTAACCTCGATTATTTTACACTGTATAACCAATAAAATGCATTTACCAGTCCAATCAGAGAATGATCTTTTCGGATATTGGGCTGGCTGCACGGAAATCGAGTTCCCGGAGGTTCCACCCTGTATATTTATAGCTATCAAGAAATGCAATTTAAAATATATTTTTTAGTTTAATAAAGTATAAATATAATATAATGTTAAATAACTTACACTATAAACCTTATACCTGCTCATCTGGTTAAGTGTGGGCAAGGAAAACCATTATCCCATATGGAATAACACAAGGTTTCGCTGAAAACTACCAGGTTGCTATGCCAATGAACTAGGTAAACTTATGTTATGTGTAAAAAATGCTAGACTGCATTATGCTTTAACAAGGACAAAAACTGCACTTCAGATTTCCACAAAAAAAGTTTCATAGTAGGTGTTAAAATTTCGCAGTGATTCAAGTGCGCAACTTGTTTTTTCAATAACATCGCCGGGATTAAAAAATGTACAAAGCTTTTTCGATATTCCCGTTCCTGATAATTTATCACATATTTACAAAAGAAAAAGTTTTTCTTGGATATTGGGCTGTGTGCACGGAAATCGAGTTACCGGAGGTTCCACCCGGTATATTTCTAGCTATTATATCAAGAAATGTAATTTAAAATACATTTGTTAGTTTAATAAAGTATACAGTTTTATAGTAAAATTCTCGCTAAAAACTTAAGGTCTTTTTATTCAAATTTATGCCTCTTATTTGGCTACTTGAAGGCAATTATTTTATCAATATATTATTTTATAATAAATAACAGAGCCCGGCCTAGAGATTTGGGTACGGTTCTGTGACTACCACTTGGACCTGTTTGTATCGCCAAGCACAAGGCGTGAAATCCGGCAATTGTGCATTCCTATATTAGCCGTACTGCACTCTCGGTGTGACATTTTCTATAAACATTACATTTTATTGTCCACTTTATGAGGTGTACTTGGCCATCATGTGTGACGGCTCTCTATCTGAACATATAATAAATTAAACAAGTTTTATAAAACTATCACTGCATCGACATGCCCAGGCATATCATGGGTCAAAATACTACTCGATCAGAGCAAGGCATATCCGGATATGCGTGGAAAATCATAACCACCGTTATGAGGGCTAAGAAACAAGGAAATTAAATTTCCTTCATTAGGCTTCATCCTGCTCCTCGAAGCCTTTCTCAGGCAAATTTAATTCTCATGAGACCATCCCAGTTAAGGATACATCATATACCGGGATTAGATTTGAGGCAATAATTGCTCTGAGTCATAACCTATATTATTATTTTTCCATCGTCGGTCGAGAACACAGACATATAATACAAGATAGACTTCTTCTTGTCACTCCATTTTTGCACGGTCGTCCGATACTTCTTTTGCCGATTGGTGATTTATCTCTTTCTATTTTGACGATAAGATTCCATTCTGCTTATGTGATTATTCCATGCTTGTTCTCTATTTTATGTCATTCATTTAGACAATGTACGTTACATTTTATTCTAATGTCTTCATTCCTCTTTCGATCTTCAGCATCCATCTATCTATCTAATCAGCCTTAAACGCCCACTCTTGGGCATAGTCCTCCCCTGTTAATCTCCATTGGTCTCTATTTTGGACGATCTGCATGCAGTCCTTTCCTGCCGTTCTCTTAAGGTCGTCAGTCCATCTCATCTCTGGTCTTCCTCTTTTTCTTTTCTTTTCCCATGGTCTCCAGTGTAGAATTCGCTTATTCCATCTTTCATCTTTTTGCCGGAGAGTGTGACCGGCGAAGTTCCATTTAAGTTTTGCAACCTGTCTTGATACATCGTTCACCTTTGTTTTTTCTCTGATCCATGAGTTTCTTTTCCTGTCTTTAAGACCGATACCCAGCATCTGTCTTTCCATTGCTCTTTTTGTTTTGGATATCCTGTAGATGTTCTCCTTTGTGAAAGTCCATATTTGTGAGCCATATGTGATAACTGGTAAAATGCACTGATTGAATACTTTCGTTCGCATATATTGAGGGAATTTTTTATTTTTTAGAATATATGATAGTTTACCAAATGGGGCCCATGCTAGTCTAGTTCTTCTTTTTATTTCTTCTGTTTGATTGTCCCTGTTCAGCTTTATTATCTGTCCTAGGTATATGTATTCTGCCACCTGCTCGAATTTATTCTGTTTGACTACTATTTCTAATTGGTCTTCTTGGTTTGTCATAGTCTTGGTTTTACTATAGTTCATCTCTAGACCTACCTCTGTCGCTTTTCTATCTAGTTCCTCAACCATCTTCTGTAACTCTTCCTTCTTATCTGTTATCAGGACTATATCGTCTGCATATCTCAAGTGATTCAAGAGCTCTCCATTTATTCTTATTCCGTATGTAACCCATTCTAATTTTTTAAATATGTCTTCCATAACCTGATTGAACAATTTTGGTGATATTGTGTCTCCCTGCCTGATTCCTCTTTCGAATTTATTGGTTCTGTAGCGTGTTCGTTCGTCAATTTTATTGTGGTACTCGCATTTTTGTATATGTTTGTTATTAGGTCCGTGTACCTGTAATCAATTCTGCCATTCTGTAGTGAGTTTTTGATGGCCCAATGTTCTATGCTACCAAACGCCTTTCGGAAGTCTATGAATGCCATGTATAATGGGATTTGATACTCGTTCGACTTTTCAATCAGTATTTTTCCTGTTAGCAGATGGTCGCTAGTACTAAAACCCTTTCTGAATCCCGCTTGTTCTCTTGCTTGGTATTCGTCAAGCTTAGTTGTTAATCTATTTGTCATGATCTTCGTTAGTAGTTTAAATACAACACTTAGTAATGTTATAGGTCTGTAGTTTTCTAAGTTCTTTCGGTCACCTTTTTTGAACATTAATAGTGTCTCCGCATCGTTCCAGCTATCGGGTATTTCTTTTGTGGCCAATATTTTGTTCATGAGGATATGTAGTAATTCTCTAGTTGTTTTCCCTCCTCTCTTCAGCATCTCTGCAGTTATTCCATCTTTTCCAGGTGACTTATGGTTTTTTAATTCTTAAATTGCTTTCTTGATTTCTGTTTTACTTATTTCTGGTTGTATGTCAGAGTTTATATTTTTTATTTTTGTGTTTAATTGTGTAAGAATTTCTTGCTGTGGTTAATGTCTTGTTCTGTATAGGTGCGTATAGTATTCTTGTGTCAACTTTATTATTTGTTTCATATAATTAATGGTTGTTCCTTCGCTGTTTGTCATTTCATTTATCTGAGTTTTACCGAGTCGTTGTTTTAAGCATTTCATATTTTTGTTCTGCTGGATTACTCTTTCAACCTTTGCTTCCTGCGTTTTTCTCTTGGTTTCTTTTATGTTTTTTCTAATTGTTTTATTGATTTCACTATATTCTACTGTGTTTCTTTTGCCCTGTTCAATTAGGCTTCTTCTTGTCTTCATCAGGTTTTCTACTTCTTCTGAGATATAATTGTCCTTTTTTGTCGTCGATTTTGCAATTCTTTCCCCGGCCTGTAGCAATGTAGTTGTTAGTATTTCATTTATTTCGTTTGTTTCTTTATTTATTAAGTCGGTTGTATTTGGGATGCATTTTTTTATTTCTTCTTTGTACTTTTCTTCGTTTTGGCTAAGTTTCTCCATATCTAGTTTTTGTACGTTTTTGATTTTCTTTCTGGTTTCAAATTGGCTGTTAATTTGTATCTAAGCCTTCACCATTCGGTGATCGCTGCCTGTTGTAAAACGGTTTAGCACTGTGACATCCTTGACTACGTATTTTTGTGTCGATAATATGTAGTCGATCTCGTTCTTAGTTTTGGTGTCAGGGCTTATCCAGGTCCGTTTTCTCTGTGGCTTCTTGTTGAAAAAGGAGTTCATGGGGTAGAGTTTCCTTTCCTCCATGTAGTTCATCAGGGTTGTCACTCTTTCGTTTCGTACACCATATTTTCTTCGTCATTTAGTCTTTGTCCTAGCTTGGCGTTGAAATCTCCCATCACAATTGTAAGTCGGGTCTTTTCTTCATCCAATGCTTTTGATATTTCTTCATAGAATGTTTCAATGTCTTCATCTGAGTATGTACTGGTTGGTGCGTATATCTGAATTAGTTTCAAAGTTGTTCTTTTAAATTTAATTATCATATATGCCACTCTATCTGATATTCCTTTGATAGTTTGTACATGTTTACCAATTCTTTTATTGATTATAAATCCTACTCCGTTTTTTGTGTCGTCTGGGTTGCCTTTGAAGTACAGTATATTACCAGATATTAGTTGAATTCTGATCTTCAGCATATTTCCTGTAATTCTTCTCGGTACTCTCATCTCTGCCGTCTCCAGTAGCCTTTGTGTTGTGGCTGTGTCAGGTCTTGTTTCTGACACATATGGCATTATTGGTCTGGGTACACACTGGCTTTGTAAATTTTTGGCTTCAACTCAGTGTTAATGTGTTTGTTTCGCCATATAGTGTTATTAACGTATTCTGCCAATTTCTTTGCTTTTTGTACTTGTTCTCTCAGTTCTTTGTCCAGGTCTCCATAGCTAAACAGTGTAATTTTAAATTATTTTGCTCTTATGTTAAATCTGTGGACCAGTCTATGCAGACTATCTTCATCTTGGGCTATAAATATTGTGTCGTCTGCGTAACCGAGTATTTTTATTTCTTTGTTTCCCATTCTGTATCCTCTTCCTTTGTTAACGCTTTTGATGATTTCATCCATGTTCAAATTGATTAGCTTGGGCCTCAATGAATCCCCTTGTCTTATTCCGCTGCCTATTTCTATAGGTTCTGTAAGTTGTCCATCTATTCTGACTTGCATTTTGTTGTTTTGGTAGATGTTTTCGATATTTTTTTTAATATTTAGGGGAACTTCTCTATTATACAGAAGATGAATTACATCTTAAGTCTTACTATGTCATACGCTTTTTTTAGGTGAATCAGACACAGAAATGCTATTATACTCTGATGATTTCTCAGTAATTTGTTTTACAACGAATATTGCATCTGTATACGATCTTTCACAACGAAAACCCTCTTGTTCATCTGCTAACCTCTAAACTTATCCTGTGATTTATTAGCACTTGTAAAATTTTGGTTGTAAGTTTTAGCGCAGTATTTAACAAGTTTATACATCTGTAGTTATCTGGCTGTTTGTTATCTCTTTTTTCGAATCGAAGAATTTGTTAACTCGTTCTCCATTCTTGCGGTATTTTATTGTGTTTTATAATGGTTTTAATGAATGTTGTTAATTGTTCTGTCACTGCTCCTCCACAATATTTCAGTAATTCGTTTGGTATCCCGTCTTTAACTGCGGCTTTTCTGTTCTTCAGGTTTTCAAGTACTTTCCGAACTTCCTGTACATTTCTATTAAGTTCTTCATTTGTGGTAATTTCTTGTGTTTCCGGTTCTAGCGTCGGCCTCGTTTGTTCTTCTTCTGCATAGAGCTTTTTTAGGTAGTTAATCTACGTATCCTTTTCTATGTGTTTTGGTTCTATTATTATATACTTTTATAATAAAATGGAGAATGGTAGCTAACAAACATTCATTGCTTTTTAAAATATTGTTCGACAACGCAAAGAACTTGTTTTTTTCTGTGACAATATCATTATTTTTCGTTGACGAAACACTTTGGCTATAAAAACTGCCACAAATTAGAATCTTGCGTGATTTGAAGACATTTTCCTTTTCAAATATATGAATTTAAATATTGAACATGGCACAATCTTATAAACGAAGTAAAACAACATAAAAGACATATAAGAACAAAGAAATACGCCATGTTGCTCACTGTAATAGTAAAATACACCATTTTCATCACTTTGTTTTATAAATTTAATGACTACCATCTTATTTTCGAAAATAGAAAAAAAATCAAGAGATATTCGTCCCTCCACACATATTTTTGCTTAACTCCGACTTACCTGGGAACAATTCTCGGCTTCGAAACTAGTCTCGTTTGACGACCAACAGCATTGGACTTGGTTCAACCAGAAGGCCTGAGGACAAATGCCGAATTTTAAATCGGTCATCCAACTGGCTCCGATGTCTATAACGCCAGCCACTGCTCCAGTGAATAAACCTACTAGTAATACACACAGCCAACCCGACCACGCGTCGTGAGCGCCCTCTAAGAGATTCCATAGTGAGTCTTGTTTCTTTTTAACTATATACCTAAAAATAAAATGCGTACAGTATTAGTATATTAATTGATATCTTAAAAGAATACGAGATGAAGCTGCGGATGAAGAGTCAAGTTAAAAAATAACCAATTAGTTCAGGAAAATTAATTTTTCTGAGGAGTTTGAATTTATCCCGGTATCGGAGAAGTTTTTTTTACCTCATATATACCTATACCAAGAAAACTTATATGCAACGAATATAGACGCATATAGAAGGATCTTTCACTATCATTTTTTCGTGTCGGCAAAGGTTATACACAAAACAATGAGAAGTTGATCATTATTAGTTCCTCATTTGTACCACTAGGGAGCGGTCATGTCAGCGCTATTACGGCTTCTAAAATAAGAAAGAGTGGGGCAACAAATGCAACTGTAGATATTTTTATATGTAGGTGCCGCGTGGTCGTAGAATAGCATTAAATTTTTGAGTTTATAAAAATTTTTGAAGATAATAATATATTATTTTAACTTTTAACAAACGAATCTTTTTAGAAAAAATATTATCATTCATATTTTTAATTTAAATATGTACAAATCTACAAATAATATAATTAAAACTATCTTCTTATAACCTATACATAAAACTAATTAAAAGTCAATCACCGGGAGAGAAAGCTCAAAAAATTGTAAGATATAAAACAATTCCTGATCTTGTTAGTACGCTAAAATTGCTTTTAAGCACATACAGCAAAGAATTATTTTTACAATTTGAAAATTCGAAATTGTGAAATATAATTTCGGATTTTTGAATTAAAAAAATAAATAAGAAGTCTCAAATAACGCCTCTCTAGAGCTCAACAAAGGAAGATGAGAAAAAAGGTCAAAATGACTGCTGCGACATGGACCATAGCAAATACCGAGAAAACCAAATCAGCAACACCCGAGGATAAAAAGAGACTTGGGGAGAATACCATCACCCCTCTCATAACAGAGTTGCTATGACACTAAGGAGCTCTAACGAGCAGACTAAGTCATAAAGCACCGTGACAAAAGTATTCAGAATAGTGGTAGCACACAGACACCATCTTGATACTCAACTAGATCGGGCTCAAGCAAATTTCATCATTAACAAACTTGAGCAAGAACTTGATGAGGCTCCTACCGGAGGTCAAAATGAACTTCTGCAGTTTCATAGAACTTCAATATCTTACCTAGTTTTTCAATTTTTCAATGCTTATATTTCACTGCTTTATATTTTAAGTTATATGAACAGAATTGCTTTTTTGTCATTAATATTTTAAAAAGTTATTATTTTTCCTTTTGCTAATATTACTAATACCCTTTTTTCAGAAATATGTGACAGTATTAATAAAAAAAAACAAGAATTATAGTCTAAGAATTTATTTTTATGGCAAATAATCCATTTTGAAAGCGATATTTCTCTTGCATGTATACTGTATATATTTAATTGCCGATAAGTTTCTTTCTTTAAATTTCTGCACATATTTAATCAGTTTAATTTATGATTATATCGAACAAAAACACTTTACATAGAAAGTCCTTACCTCCGTTGCCAAATAGCAACGTTCGTACTCCTTTCGCACCTCCCCCTAACTATATATTTTATGATGGTTTGAGTTTATGCAGTCGCCCCCTTAAGGATTGTTTTGAAGTATAATAACCGTAACCAAATCGCCCATTTGAACTGTCCTTCTATATGCGTCTACATTCTTTGCTATTTTCTACAAAGATTTCGTCATTGTTAGTCCCATTGTAAGATACCTATGCCACTAGAATTTTATCTTTTAAAAAATTGCAAAGCTTCAAAATAGCGTACTATAGAAGTAAAATTAATTGGTTGATTCGAAAAACAACAAAATTTGGCAAAATCTTAATTATTGTTTATAAGTCTCGCTAAAACTAACATAACTTTGTCATTGCGACAAAAGATGTGTCTTGTGACGATTAATAAAGGTTTAAAATTTCAGATCGATCCATCAATCGGTTTGAAAATTATTCAAATTGTTTATCTGTTTTGGAGTTTTCTTTTTCCTACTCACCTATGTCTCATACGATCTCTTGCAATATCCCGTTGCCAATCGATTGTGTGAAAATCTTCATACTGTCCAATTCCAGGAATATCAGCTGATTCTAAAAATATTTCGAGTACAATTAAGAGTGAAACGAACAAATAATCAATAGTAAAAGGTTTGGAAAAGTATTTATTGCTTGCTTAAATATTTTGTATTATATTTATTCTTAATATTTTTAACATAATTGTGATCTTATTTAATCTCTAATTTCATATCATTAAATTTTCCACGTTAAAATTGACTATATTCATATTTTTTATCAAATTAGGGAACCACTTGTCTACAATTACCCACATGTCTATGGGAAAATCATTAATTACCTACCCCGAAATGATCTAGATAAGAGTTTTTAAAAGATTAACTTCTTGAGACATCTAATTTATTGCATATCGCAAAAAGGGTGCGAACGAACTGTTGTAAATTTCACAGGATTAGCCTATTTAAGTAGAATCGCACTATACACATTGAGTATAAGTCGAATTCATTTCTTCCCGCCGCCAAGTCGAAGACCGGATTACTGTATGACTCATTTTCATAGAGACATAGAGAGTTTCTACTACAGCATTCAAAAAAGCGTTAATTTTGAACTGGTTATAATTTATGAGTTATGCCAATTATTATTCTTATTCACAATCATATACATTTCATTATTTATAACTTCAATTAATTAATCAGTTATTTATATATTTCCTACATAAACACAAAGTTATTGTGAGTACTATACAAGGCTGACATGTTTGACACACGGATATGTGCACCTGTGAAAAAAACAAAGACCAGTATGCCAAAACGAGCCAATTTCCACAAAATTAAACTGTTTTCGAAACAGATTCGGGCGGTTTCTTCGTAAAAATTGAAAAAATATCATTAGAATGGTATACCAAAAGTTTTTTTGTCAAAACCGATAAAAATTAACAACCACAGACAGATCATTCTGACCAAAATTTTAGTTCTGACAGCTCGGCTTAAACAAGTAACATTTCAATAACATAAGTACATTTCATTTCAAGTCATTCGTTATTCTATCCTGATTTGGCATTAAATGATTTTTTTAATTTTCATCCATTTCAAATCCAATTTCACAATGATTCATCGTGATCTGAAAACCAGAGGTAAAATCAGATCTGAAATTGTACATCTTCTTGAAATTTGAATAAACCAGGACTACTTTGAATTTAATAATCAAATATACACAAATAACTGTGCAGAACTTATAATGAGTAATTCTCTAAGCCCATTGCTATCAGATATTTTTATGGATCATCTGGAAATAAAGATTTCCAAACATCCTGTATTCAAACAGTTTTTGTATTGGTGGAGATACGAAGACGATGTACTTGTATGTTTTACAGGAACTAACAGACAACTTGACCAATGTTTATCGTATATTAATTTACTCCATAGTCATATTGAATTCACAATAGAAACATAACAGAATCTATCCACACATTTTCTAGATTTAAACATTATCAGACTTGAAAACAAACAGGAGTTTTCCGTATTCCTTAAACCTACCCATACTGGCACGACTATACACAATTCATCATCCCATCATATACAACATAAATTGGCAGCCTATCATAGCATGATACATAGAGTAATAGAAATTCCCATACCAAAAAACAACTTCAAATAGAATTAAATATCTTTATACAAATAGAAGTAAACAATGGATACAACGAACACAAAATAAATAAAATTTTAAATCAAAACTACATAAGAAAGTCCTGAAATTAGTATTTTCACCATCAGAGAAAAAACCCAGTACCTTCTGCTCGATTATATACAGGCAAGATATCAACAAAAATAGCTAAACACTTAAAAAAGAAAGGAATAACACCAGCTTTTAGAACAAACAACAATTTGCAAATATATTAAGAACAACAAAAGCCAAAAGAAGAAGCCATTAACAGAGGTGTATACAAACTTAAATGTGGCGACTGCTCAAAAACTTCCATAGATCAAACTGGTAAAACTTTTATCAAACGTATAGCAGAACATAAAAGGGCTTTTAATAATAGAAAAACACATTCTACGTACGCATTTCACCTTCTAGACCATAATCATTATTTTAATGACGAATTTCAAATTTTTCCCATTCAAAATAAGGGCCTTAAGTTATCTTTATTAGAATCTATGGATTTCAACAAATGAAAAAATAGAGACATAATTCTGAATAACCAACTTGAGACAAACAGTTCTCCCCTCCTCAACGTATTCAGTTTAAGACTATAAAGTGTAAACACGTACCAAAAATAGATCACTTGAGAAAGGCACTCTGCTGAATCAACTGTAGTGATAATAATTTAAAATAAAATTTGTGGAAGTGTTGAAAACAAAAGTTTTCAGTGTTTTATTGTTGATAAAAAGTTAATCATAAAAAGTTATTTTAACACTTTGGCTACTGGCTATAAATTTGAAGTTTTTTGTCAGAAACTGAAACTATATTTTGGTAAAATTCACAATATTCAAATATCAAAAAAAATTACGTAAACGCCCCTACAAATAAATACAATGATCTCTATGAAGTTAAAATGTGTTCATCGGCCATTTGGGTTGGATTTCGGTGAAATGTAAACACCAAAGAGGCGCGCCGGGTATCTTTATTACTTTATTAGGCAACGGTAATAAAAAGAAATATAATATTTTTAATATAAATAAAAAGAAATTGGCAAAACGATGGTTCAGAAACCAGGAAAAGAATCTAGTGTTCCACTTTGTTAGTTTTTTGTTTGCTTTGAGTGGATATACTCTTAAAAGTTCCGAAAGTAACGGGTATAACATGGCGGCTATTGATAGTTAAAGTACCGAGTCATTACAGATATTAAAAAGTAACGAAAATTTACATACAGTTTTATAAATCGCCGACTGATTTTAGTTTTAAAAACAGTCCGTATAGAGGTGTCCGGTGAAGAGACGTGTCCGTTAAGAGAGAGTTTAGTGTAGTGTATTTGTTTGTAATGGTGATTAGGAGAATAAGAGTAAGCTTTTTTGTTTTTTTAATACTAATTGAATATTCGACTAAATAAATTAAACTATTTAATCACTTAAGTATTGTTACACTTCGTTTAGATCACTTAATTCAAAAACCAACTTGTTTACAATACTAAAGTCAATGAGAGTAATTGTACGAGTATACTTCAAAATCTGAATTACAACTATTCTATAAACTATCAATTCTATATTTAGATCTTAACTTCATATTTAAATCTAAGGTGTATATCTGTCATAACAGTATTTTAAAAATGGTGAGAATTTACCATTGTACAATTCAGCACATTGGACCATTTAGGTCGACACCTTAAAGCGAATTTAAAACAGTTGTATATTCGTGGAATGGAGTATAAATATCAATATTTAGGTATTTTTTTGAAAAAAAAAAAAATCATGTGTAAGGGTCGTGTCAAAAAATGGTACACACAGTTTGTGGCAGAAATAAATGCGTAATTATCTTATTAGAAACTATGTGTACCATTTTTGGACACAATGTTCATTTTTTTGCTTGACAGTAATGAGTGTCAAAAAAGCAGTTGGTACACAAAAACTTATCACTGCATGCTAGACAAGATGTTTTAACACGTTTTGTTTCTTTTATAGCAAAGTTACGTCCATTTCTAGCACTATTATTTTTATAACATCTTGTACAACGACCTCTCTGTTCCACTTCGGAAAGTTTGTGATTTCTTTCTTGGTTAACACGACGATCATCCAAATTTTTCATCTGAATATTTTGACTACGAAAAATTTCTGAGGCGATTTCATCTCTAAATTTAGTGATACTTATCTTTTTGTTTGTTATAGCCTCGTATGCAGTATGTGCATTTATAATAGATGTGTTAACCAAAAGTTCAATTGAAACTTTCCTATACCACTTAATACCCCTACGCATTGCTGATGAATATGATGCTTTTTGATCAGAGACGTCTATAAATGATTTCACATTATTATACTGCACGATTGTGGAAGACTTTCTCACGACACCCCTTTTTGTTGGCACGTCCACTATTTCAGGCACAGACTCCGTAGTGAGAAACATGACATCTCTTTTGTCTTTCCATTTTCCAATTATGATTTTACTGTTAGTCTGTCTCATGACTAATTCACCCCTTTTTAATTTAGCCTCACTTACTACTTTTGGATTATGCTTCCTGTGTTTTCTCAGTGTGCCTATTAAATGTGTATCTTTGTTCAGAAGTTCGTGTGCTAAATTCACGCTAGTGTAATAATTATCTGTGCACAAAACGCGACCTGAATGTAAAAGTGGTTCCATAAGCTGTAGCACCCCTTTTGTACCAATTGGCTTTTCATTAGGTGTTTGCTCTTTTCCTGTATAAATTTTAAAATTGTATGTGTGACCTTTCACTCCACATAGTTTAAATAATTTCACACCGTATTTGTGACGCTTCCCCGGTATATATTGGCGAAAGCTCAGTCGTCCTCGAAAAGGAATCATCGTCTCATTTATACACACATTCTTGTCAGGAGTATATGCTGATTGGAACTTCTTGATTAACAAATTTTGCAAGGGAAGGATTTTTTTGAGCCTATCATCTGAGGCAATTTCGTTGTTTGAGAAGTGCAAATTGGACAAAAGAAGCTTAAACCTTATCCTGGACATGTGAACAAATTTTCCAATTTCATTTTTGTACAGCATATTGGTGATAAAATAATCTTTCAAAGTGGGTTTACGATCCAAACCCATCCATATTAGAAGACCTAAGAAAACAAAAATTTCGGATTGATTTGTGTTTCTCCATTATCCCAATAATGCTGTTTTTGTTAATGTTTCATTTGTAATTCCTGATACTATTTTCTGTTCAGCATATCTGTTGGTTTCCTCGGCAATAAGTGATAAGATATCGTTGTCAATAAATAATTTATAAAAATGAATTGGATGATCTCCTTCCCTTTGTGCAAAAAACCTTGGGAGAATCCTGAATCTTCCGTGAAAGTAAATGTGTTCAAATTACCTACAAAATTATAAACTCAAAACTATAAAAGTGAATACTAATTTATATACTACCTGCACAATTATTCCAAATGACATTAGTATTAGGATTATTTAAAAAATTATCAGGTTCAGAGTCGTTGTTGAGAGATTCTAGATCAGATTCGAATTCTAACTCTTGCCCATCACTGTTAATTTCTAAAATAGAGGAAGAAGAACACGAATCTTGATCATTTGGATTATCTATATCCATAGCATCATCATCATCATCTTCACTAATAAACTCATACTCCATTTCACTCATATTCTCGGCTATTTTTAAGTACTAATTTTAGAACCGTAAACACACAAGACTAATATTGCACAAACAACAAGTTTCTGCAAGTCGAAAAATGGCCATAATATGCCATCTGCTGAAGGAGTCTCAAACTGCTCCGCCATAATTTTAAAAAATCGGTCATAGTACAGCCATCTGTTGATTAAGTCCCAAACTGCTTCGCCAGAATTTAGCAGTAAACTGTAGGAACCTAGATACGCATTTAAAACCATCAGAACTGTGTTCACCAAATGTACACACAGCTTGAAACATTACCATTTCATGTGACCAAATTTGGTACACGCAGTTTCTGGTAAACATCAACTGTGTACCAGAAATGGTACACACAGTAGCCAAAGTGTTAACTACACCAGTTCTCTTAAAACTTTAATGATAAAAAACAAAACAAACTACAATATACTTCATCTAATTTACTTACCGTTGCAAGTCATCAGCGTCATAGTTCGTGTTGGTGACATGATACCAACACGAAATATTTATGCGGTAGGTGTGTTCTTTTTTAGAATCACTTTGCCGAGTACACTGGCATTACAGCCACTAGACATATTTTATTATATAATATACGCGTAGAAATAATATTTAAAAATTTTTATTAATGTTAACTTAAAGAAATACACAATAATATGTTTCATTTAATTTGTACAAATGCATTATAAAGAGTTTTTATGAAGAATATTTGTTCGGGACACACTGTAACTGTAATCGAACGAAGGTGAAATTTTGTCATACATTGGTAACACTTATTTGACAGTTGCGGTGTTGATACTTTTTGTACTTTATTATTTTGAATTTTAAAGTGAATACCTCTTGTTTTATATTTTTACCTATTTAATAAAATCTGTTCTTTTTAGAACAAAATTAGTATGTTTTATTTTTAAAATGTCACGTAAGAATTTAAATAGTCGTTGTAAAGAGATGGTAACTTCTTTGATTCATTATTTTGAACAGGAACGTGATAATAATGGCCATATTCTACCATTGACTGCTGTTAGAGAAGTATGTAAATGTATGTTTTGTATATTATTGTAGATGCTTACAATATACATTCTTGTTTTAGCGTGTAACTGCAGCTTTAAATTTAGATATTTCAACTGTGAGTTCTATTTTTCAGGCCGTAAAAACTAATACACTTATATCATTTCTATAATAAAACGTCTATCACTATCGATGAGAAAACCAAAATTTAAATAAATCTGAAGAAAAAAAAACAAGCATTTGAAAATTTAGTTGTAACAAAACATTTAAATAAGTCAATAAGTAATGAAAAAAGTGTTGTTTTTGTTTAAGTATTCCATTTTACATCTTTATACGACGCATACAAGCGGCTCAAATTGTTTTTAACGAGATTAGTTTTTAACTCTTGTTTTGTTTCTATTTATTTACATTAAATATTAATTTATTTTGTTGTATAATCCACTTTTGCAATAATTATGTGACCTATTTGATTTAAAATGGATTCAGGATTTTTTTATACTTTGTCAACTATGTCAACTTCGATCTCTGTCAATGATAATGACCTGCAGCGGTAAGTAAATTAGATGAAGTATATACTATCCCTATAGCTACTTTAGATTATTGGTAAGATGTACTTAAAACCTTGTGGCACTGCACATGCAATCTTCTGGTACATAAGGTATACAAATTTTTTCAAAAATTTAACAAAAAAACAAATTTAACCTTAATCTTAAAACTTGATTAAGACGAAATATTTTTTGATTTTAACATTTTTGAGATGAAAATTATTTTAAAATAACATTATGGCTTATTACCAATAGAAGTAGTAAATTAGAAAACTTAAACAGTGCAATAAAAGATATGAAAAGAATAAAAATAGTTCTATTATAGTAAATATTTTCGTAATATTTGCTATAAGATAAATAAATCAAATCAAAAAATATTTACGTGTTTTTCTCATTAATGAATACCAATAATTGTCACATAAATATTTTAATATTTAACAGTCACCCGAACACTGAACAAACAACGCAAAACTAGTTTTGAAATGTCAAACTACACTTACCATGTGATCCTGCGTATGCCACAGAGTCTGAAAATATAAAAAATATTTTATTTTTAAATGGAATAGATAGACAATCGTTAAAACATAGCTAAACACTATTTGTAGTGCTAATTTGAGCTATAATCGCCTCGTTATAGTTATAGATATTAGTGAATAGTATCATTAGGTATAATGAATAATCGTGTTTATAAAGCATTATTATTAATAATTGCTGAAAACGGAATGCAGGTTAAATGTTTTCATGAAAAACACGAAAAGGAGAAAACGCGACTTATGTTAACTGAAGATACTTGTTAACTGAACTTCTTAACAAAAATTCTTATACAAATATACAGTGTGAAGCATTTCCTCGGTCAAACTCATATAACAGTTGTAACATTTTTTTTATTATTAATATATCAAATTATTTTTAATTCCTTTTACCCCCGTGCGATACGCCGATGATTAGGAATCCCCGTGTTTACGATAGGAAAATATTATTGTAGACACCAAGCTGAAATGGAATTCCCTAATTAAAAAAGGTTTTTAATCCTTCCATCTTAATACTCTGTATGAAAAGAACAAATGCTTTCCGGTATGCAGTTTCTTTTTCATAAATTAGTAATTTTCGCCGAAGGCCGTATCTTTTGACAATAATATAATCCTAAGGATTTTAATATTCTCAGGTAGAATTGTTAATACCGATTATTTTACCTCAAACTTTCCAATAGTCGTTAAGGCCTTACCTTCTGAGAAATACATACGACTGTCCGATGATTTTAAGTGGGGGATATACCTTCTTTTTCTTTTTTCTTGGATAGTTGGGGAAATTTTTAGGGAACCAACTCACTTCTCGGTGGGCTCTTGCTGAGTGAAGTGATATCTCGTGATGCGCTTTGCTCACGATATTTCTTATCTTATCGTCGCTGTGAATTATTTTCTAAGTGTGTGTACACTTCATATTTGAGTTTTCTTTCCTTAGACTATATTAAATTATATATAGTTCTACACTACCTTTAATGGTTATTAAATTCAGTGTTTAGTACCAGAAAAGTATTAAATTCAGTGAATTAAGCTGCCTTCGTCAAGATCTACTGTAAGTAATCTTTATCTACAATTATCTGGGCGAGTAATATGGTATGGTACCATATCACTTGCCATTATCTGGACGTATCATCTATATCTTTACCTGTAGATTGCCGATTTTTGAATGTAATTGAACCATTCAAGAAATTTCTATAAATATTACCTATGAACATACAAGTCTCAGTTTTTTATTAAATAATAGTGCGAGATAGTTAATTGATTTAACCAAGTGCGGTTTGGTTTATGTTTTAATTCCTGTAACCTTTTTGTTTTTTTTTTTTTGTAAATTTAGAGTTAAGTAATTTTGCTATCTTTTGTATTTCCTATAATTTTTGTTCATTATCTTTCCTATGATATCTCGAGATACGCCAAACTATATTTGTATATGATTGCCTTATATATCTTGGTAAAGGTATTTTTTTATTACATTATTGCTTAATTTTATACATATATAACACCATTTCATAGTTGTGTATTTTTAGTACCTGTGTTGCATTTAGCAGCATCATAATTTTGTGTTTAATATATTGTTATTGTTTTATGCATGTATTTTATTTGTCGGCTCCTAACAAGTTCCCTGATAAAATAATAGCTCTGAACAATTACTATCTTTAAATATTACTATGCTTTTGAACTGTAGAAAGATCAGGCTGATTAAGTTTCGTAGGTAAGTAAGTGTAATACTTAATATATTTATTATTTGTTTATATATTGCGTTGACCAGATTTATTTGATAATTTACTGTTGGTATCTTTCCTTGGGTTGATCTCTGAACCTAAATATCTTTTCCTTATCTCTTTTCTTTTCTAAGGTTTTCTTAATTTTCTCCTTAACCCCAAAAAATTGAGTGGCGCCCTGTTTCTATCTTCTCTTATCTTTGGTAATTTTACCCATTTATCTTTTTGTTTATTTCTGTATCTTTTCTAATATCTCTTATCCTATCTTTACCTATTTCTTCCGTTGGATCCATTCCCGGTTCCAAAAGCTAGTTTCGAACCCACGACTCGCTCTCCACCAACCATCTGGCTGCCGTCCGCAGTGTCTCCATTGGTTATCTTTCTAGCACCACCCAAAAAAGATTTCCGAGGTTACACAGTTAATTCAAATAACATAGGTCTCTCCTAAAAACTTCCATTCAATCTATCTTGCGCTATTCATAAAAATGAAAAACAATGCAAATTAGATTTTAAACCGCTTAAAACAATCGTCTTGAAACAGTTAAAACAGACCCAGTATATTATGACAATGAAGCAGTCAGTAACCAAGAAGATGTACCAAAAGTCCTTCCAGAGGAAGTAGAATCGACAATTACAAAAATAAAAAGCGGTAAGCAGCTTGAATAGTTTGTGAAAGAAATAGTGGAACAGCTTAAAAACACTGGCAAAAAATCCTGGAATCAAGATACATACCAGACCATCGGAATACATCAAACATAATTCTTATTCTTAAGAAAGGTAACAAATAGAGTATCAAAAAATACAGACCTTATAAGTCTACTACCAATTAGATCCTTAGATTAGAGCAAGCTGTCTTCAGAAATAGATTCAGTACCCAGGATCATATCCATACGCTCCATACGCTAATGCATAAAGCTAAAGAATATGAAATACCGCTAGCATTAACTTTCATAGATTTCGAGAAGGCTTTCGATTCTATATATCCCAAGGCAGTAATAGAAGCTTTGACCAACCAAGGGATTGACCAACCAACATCTTTTATCAACGTCTGTTTGCCTTGCAATTTTTAGAAGGCTCAGATTATAAGCAGAAATCTGAATTGTGTTTCGATACTATTTTACGGATGTTGTTGCTGTTTTAGATGTCGCTATCGCGTCCGTATTGAAGCCATTTTATTGTTGCTTCTTAAAAGACAGAAAATATTGATTTTTCACGTTGAGAACACCTATGAATAACTGTTCTGATGAGACCTATTAGGTCGAAATACGTATTAACAGATACATAGGAGTTGTTTGCGTGAAATCAAATATTTGCTGTCTTTTTCATTTCAAACATAGACATTTTAGTAAATATACACAGACAAGCAAAAGCTAAGGTAAAAATTTAGGCAAACACTCCAGAATTTGTCACCTCCGGAAGCGTCCGACAAGGAGGTGCAATATCACCAAAGCTCTTTACTGCAACTCTAGAAAATATATTAGCAAAATTAACTGGCCCAACAAAGGCCTATCCATTAATGAAGAATAGCTCAGCCATCTAAGATTTGCAGACATCAATCTTATCTGCAGAGCTACAACAACTTATAAGTGGCCTAAATACAGCTATCGATGAAGTTGGTCTAAAAATGAACTTGACAACAACAAAAACGAGCATGTACAACGAGCTAGTGGATGTCCAAGATATAATTTGAGACAGTAGATGAGTATGTATACATGGGGCAATTAATACATAAAGCTGGCTCCTTACTCCCAGAAATCAGCAGAAGAATGAAACTGGCTTATGAATATTTTGGTAAAAATGCAGTTATATTCAATTCCAGTATGCCACTTCACCTGAAGAAAAAAGTATTTAATCAGTGTATACTACCAATTATGACATACGGCTGCGAAACTTGGAACTAAAGAAAGATATTTGTGAAACTCAAAGTCACTGAAAGGTCAATGGAGCGATGCATTTTAGATGCATGAATATAACAAAGAGAGATCGAAAAAGAAAAGAATGTATAAGACAGAAAACCGAAGTCGCTGACGTGATCCACAGAATTAAATCTTTCAAATGGCAGTGGGCGAGAAGAACTGACAATAGATGGTCTACTAGAATTACACTGTGGTATCCAAGAGGCGTCAAGAGACCAAGAAGACGTTCAAATTTAAGATTTAACATAAGGAAATAAGCCGGTACAATATGGTACAGAAAAGCGAATATTAGACAATCGTAGGCAGAAATGAAGAACGACTATCTAAAGGATATTGCACCAGAATCGGTAGAATAAGCTGAGAATAATGATGATGATATTCACAAACTTAGTCCATAACAGCAATATATCCACAAACGATACAGAAATCGAATACGTCATGTCTTATAAAAATTTAGACCACGAACTAACAATAGGCTATTTCAAGATAAAAAAATCTGAGAATTTAAAAGACAAATAACATGTGTCACTAATTACGATAGGTGAACTACTATAATAAAGTGACATCTTAGATATCATGCATATAGGGGTAGATTGGCCTCCGACACAGAAGACGGATGATGTAGGAATAGTTGTAACACACCAGATTTATGCGGGACAAGATCAGGACACTAGACACAATTAAGAAAGACATGATGTCTGATGATAATAATTTTGGTTAAAGAGAATTAATAATTTTCGACCATCTTACAAAAGGGAATTAAAATTGTAACAATAAAACACTGAAAACTTTGTTTTCAAACTTACACAAAATTTATTTTAAAAATATTTTCACTACAGCTGTTTCGGCTGATTGCCTTTCTCAAGTGATCTATTTTGGCTTGGGTTTAAAAATTTATAGTCTCTAATGAAATAGGTTGAGGAGGGGAGAACTGTTTGTCTCAAGTTGGTCATTCAGAATTATATCTGTGTTTTTTAATTTATTGATTTCCATAGATTCTAACAAAGACAGCTTAAGGCCTTTATTTTGAATGTGAAGAATTTTAAATTTGTCATTAAAAGAATGATTATGATCTAGAAGGTGAAGTGCGTATGTCGAATCTGTTTTTCTATTCTTGAAAGCCCTTTTATGTTCTGCTATTCGTTTATCAAAGTTTCTACCAGTTTGACCGATGTAAGTTTTTGGGCAGTCGCCACATTGAAGTTTGTACACACCACTATTTAAGTGTTTTTTATTTTGGCTTTTGTTATTTTTAATATATTTGCCTAGGTTGTTGTTTGTTCGGAAAGCTGGTGTTATTCCTTTCTTTTTTATGTGTTTGGCAATTTTTGTTGTTATTTTGCCTGTATATGTAATCGAGCAGAAGGTA